TCTTTCCTTTTATATTTTCTTTCCCTTTCCCTTCTCTCTCTTATTTATTTTTGGCGGGGGGGGGGGAGGAGGCAAGAGCCCTTCGCCCTTCCCCTGTTTCCCTCTTATTCCTCTTCTTTCTTTCCCTTTCCCTTCTCTCTCTCTCTCTCTCTCTCTCTCTTATTTATTTTTTTGGCGGGGGGGGGGGGGAGGTAAGAGCCTTTCGCCCTTCCCCCGTTTCCCTCTTTCCTTCTTCCTCTTCTTTCTTTCCTTTTATATTTTCTTTCCCTTTCCCTTTCCCTTCTCTCTCTCCTTATTTATTTTTGGCGGGGGGGGGGGGGAGTGAGGAGGAGGCAAGAGCCCTTCGCCCCCCCCCCCCCCGTTTCCCTCTTTTCTTCTTATTATTCTTTCTTTCCTTTTATCTTCTCTTTCCCTTTCCCTTTTTTCCTTCTCTCTGTCTCCCCCAGCTAGGGCTGGTTTTGTTTACGAAGCGCCCGTCAGGAGAGTACACGATAGAGTACACGATAGAGTACACGATAAAATTGACGATATCGTGAACTTTATATCGTGAACTTTTCACGATAAAATTCACGATATCGTCAATTTCATCGTGAAAAGTTCACGATAAAGTTCACGATATCGTCAATTTCGTGAATTTCTTCGTGAAAAATATGCGATAAAATTGACGATATCGTGAATTTTGTCGCATATTTTTCACGATTTAGTCTATTCGCGATGTCCCTTCAGGGCCACCATACAATTAATACAGTGTCATCAGCATAACGCACATTATTCAGTGGCGGATCCAGTAATTTCTTAGGGGGGCACAAAATCGATGGGTGGTATAATATGAAAAACGATGGAGCGAAGCGACAGAGGTTGGCGTCAGCGGTGAGGGAGCGGAGCGACCAAGCGGGGGTGGGGTCAGAACCCCCTCCCATAGTAGGAAGCATTTGCAATTTTAGAACTACATTAGGTGCATTTTTAGGCACTTCCTGGAGTAATATGACTTACAAGTGCTTTCTCCTACCCCCTCCAAGAGTAGGGATCTTTTGCAATTTGAGAACCACATGGCGCATTAATGTCCACCGGCACTTCCTGGAAAAAAACATGATGCCTTCTGATTGGTTAGAAGTTAGAGAAAAGTGATCCGTCACGTCGCGAGGCGTTTTATATGCTTTTTTTGCTGCACGATGGTCTGGTACTTTACCAGTAGTACTTATCTCGAGTTTAGAAACTGTGTTATTATCAGGCGTGTTGCTAGAAAATTTTCGAGGGGGGGGGGGGGGGGGGGGGTGTAGAGACCACCGATAATCGAAAAAACTAGCCACCAATTACCGACAAATATATTCAAGTTCAAGTTCAAGTTCCAAAAAACGAGATAGAAATACAGAGATTAAAATAACACAAAGCATCAATCTACAGAATTAAACCAGACAAATCCATTAAAAAAAAAGGAAATGCATTTATGTGAAAAATAATCCTAGTTATACACATTTATTTACAAGATATTTCTTGAGCTTTCTTTTGAAAATTGATACTGTCGAGCATATGAATGCCAATGTCCCAATGATCTACAAATGTAACCCTATAAACCCGGGGCCAGGAACTAAGGTAATTTTCAATCCCCCCCCCCCTCCCACGCGAAGCGCGGAAGCTTTGACACTTCATTTAATTATTAGAGAAAGAAGACGATTCGTCGTACCGTTCCCGACTCTTAATTCATGTTTCGCTCTCCCGCGCGAAGCGCAGTAGCTATGATGTTTCATTTAATTATTAGAGAAGGAACACGATTCGTTGTACTGTTTTCGACTCTTAATCCTTGTCTGAATTTAGTCCCCCCCCCCCCCCCCCCCCTCCCGGGTGAAGCGCGAAAGCTTTGACGTTTCATTAAATTATTAGAGAAAGAAGACAATTCGTTGTACCTACTCTTAAACATTGTTTGAATTTTCAAAAATGTTTCTTTGTCCGATAAAAAGTCACAGTCCCCTTGGATTTAAAATAAGTCCTAGAAATTAAGAGTGTAGGGGAAAAAATGTGCCGGCCGACCGACATAATACATCTTACCGACTTCAAACTTCTGCATGATATAGCACACGAGGATCGAGCAAGAACACCGACACGGCGGACCCGACACACTAATTAGGCCTATCTATGCGTTTCTGTCTTGCCCCCTCGACGTGGTGACTCCACCCACATTCCCCTCTCTCTCTCTCTTTCTTACTCCCACCCCTCTTCCTTCAGGCTCTTACCCCCTCCTTTTCCTCTCTTTCATCCCCCATTTCTTTTTTTCCTTTTCTCCTTTTTTTCTTCTTTCCTCTCCATCCTCTTTTCCTTTTTTCTCTTTCTTTCTTCTTGTCTTCTCTTTCCTTTCTTTCCTTTCTTTTCCTTTTCTTTTTCCTTTCTTTCCCTTACCCTCTCATTTCCCCATACAAAATGGTCGAACCAGTTGCATATATATACAGATGGATCTAAGTTTCCGGAGAAGGGCCAATGCTCGGCTGCTTTCTATATCCCACACTTTTCTGTACACCAATGTAAAAGATTAGCGAATTTTACCTCATCGTATAGAGCCGAGTTGGCTGCAATTGTTCTTGCCCTTCAATGGATCGAAGAAACAAACATCTATACAGGTGCAGTCATTTTTAGCGACTGCTTAAGTGCCCTCACAGCCTTGAAACATTTTAGTGACGAATCCTTTGTCACAGAAATATTTATAATAACGACCCGATTGAAATATAGAGGGATCGAAATCGCTTTGGAATGGATTCCAGGCCACTGTGGGATAGTGGGAAATGAAAAGGCAGACTTCTACGCAAAAAAAGCTCTAACTCAGGAAATTGAAATGCATAATAAATTGACTTTATTTGAAAAGACAAGTTTAATTTTGTACAGTTCAAAGTTACTTTGGCAAGAAAGGTGGAATGATACCCAATCGGCATTAAAAATCCTTCAGCCAAATGTTATCTCACAATATTCTTGTAAATTGGGAAGAAAAACTGAAACTATTCTTAGGCGACTACGCCTGGGAGTGTCTGGACTCAACCAAGACCTCTTGCGTTTGGGCATCCACTCCACAGGTTTCTGTGACAGCTGCCCAACATTAGAAACGGTCAGACATTTTTTGATAGAATGTCCAAAGTATATAATAGAAAGGGCCATGTTAATGTCAGAAGTTAATATTTCCAAGGAAGAGGACATTATGATATGTTTACGAAACAGTGACTCTCATGTACAAATGGCAATTTCTCGCTTCGTTTTTAGAACGAAGCGATTATGTAAAAAGTAAAATCAAAAAGAGATGAAAAACAGAAACCGCAATCAATTTGAGCTGAATAGAAGAGAAAATAGGTTTTTTGTGTATAACCTTATGCCTACACCTGTATTAGTGTCTTATTTGAAGTTTTGATCGTATAGACCTATATATCTTATTTAGGCCTCTTTTAATTAAAAAAAAAAAAAATAATAATGATTGAAACAATTTAACATTATTTATTTGACCAATCGAAAAACATATCTTAATACATACACACAACTTTAGGGAAGTGGAGAGGAGAGAGAGAGAGAAGGATACATGAAATCTGCTGGGGAAAAGAAAAAAAGCAATTAAAACTTGCTATATATCATTACTCGAAAGCATGTCACCCCCAATGATTATAGTAGTTAAAAGTCATGCGCTATATAAATAATTTCATGAACTAACTCATATAAACTAATAAAGCCCACAAGTGTTTTGCTTATGCAGTTGTCTTTCTCCTAATAAATAAATAAACCCTCTAAACATACAGGTACACGACGCCCCCTTGTCTATGCCAGAGTGACCTAGGTTGAGTTTATCAACCGAGAAGCGTACGGCGTAACATAACTCGCTGGGCTGGTAAGAAGGCATCATAGAAAGGACAGGGCCAGCGTGAGTTGGAACTGTGTGCGGATCGTGGTTTAATTTGAAATAATTTTTTGTTTTTATTTTTTTGTAGACTATGACTAATATTATATTAAAATGAGATTGGAAAAAGAAAGAAAGAAATAATAATTTTACCAAGACATTAAAAGAAAGAGATGCGATGAAATTGGCAACAATAGTCAAATTTGACTAATAGCCATTATAATACCAAACGAACAACAACAACAACCCCCTCCCCTTTTCTCATTTTTCCCGACAGCAGCGCAATTTTACCGACATCCAGTCGGGCCATGGTCATCATGAACAGCTTCGTCAACGACATCCCGCCTCGCTCAGTACAACAAAAAGTCAACCATTAACCATTATGGTTGAGTGTCGCACCCCCACCCCCGTTAAGGAACGCCCCTGGTTGTTATCCCATAATTCTTTTAAAATAAGAAATACAATTCCTCTAATTGCTCTCGCACCTCTCTTCTTTCGTTGTTTAATTCTCTTTCATTTTTTCCCTTTCTCCTTCTACTCACAAAATTCTCTCTTTCCCCCTTTTTTCATCTCGTTATTTTGTTCTTCTTGTGCTTTTTTTTGGGGGGGGGCGGGGGAGAGATACACGCCTGGCAAGAGGGACCCCATATTATGCACACTGCAAAATTGCATGCCTCCCCGCCCCTTTCCAGGTAAAAACAAAAAACCCCTTCTTATAATCATCACTCTTTCGTTCTATTCCCTTCTCATTATTCTACTTTCCCCCTTTTTCTCTCCTCCGTCTTTCCCCCTTTCTTCTTTTTCCGCCTTTTCTCTCCTCTCTCTCTTCCCCTTTCTTCCTATTTCTCCCTCCTTTTTCTCCTCTCTCCTTTTCTTTCTTCCCTTTTCTTTCTTTTTCCCTTCCTTTTTTTCCCCCCTCCTTTTTCTCCTTTTCTCCCTTCCCCCCCTTCCCCTATCCCCCTTCTTTTTCTTTTTTTACCGGGGGGGGGGGGGGGGCACATACCTCCTGTGCCTCCCTGAATCCGCCACTGTTATTGTTTTTACACCTCCAACATAACACCCTTCATTGTAATTTCCCTGTTTTTTTCCAACTGTGGTTTTATCTTATACTAACACTAGAGGGCGTGTATTATTTTTGTTTTGATTGTGCGGGAATTTGAATCGACTGAAAATGGCCTCTCCGTCGACATATTCACGTTATAGTAGTAATTCGGACAATTACTACGATATAAATGACATTATTGCTACTCATGAAAAGGTACCGTGTAAGGTTGAACTGCCACTTCATAGGCTTGGTTTCCTGAATCCTGGTTCGGATGGCGAAAATATACGAGTGGGTACGAAAATGGACCTTCCTTACTGGTTGGTTACCGGACTCCTCGGGCGGCGCAGGCGGCTGGTGAGCGTAGAGCCGCCCAAGTATTTTCGCAGCTCTTACCGAGAGATTATGAGTGCGGATGCAAACATTGTTGATTTACATAAAATGGGCCCCTACTACTACGCCTTTGGAACCAAAATTCTCAGTTTTGAGTTCCCTGAATCTGAAGACATTGCCAAGTCATTGATTGAGGTGAGTATAACAAAATAAGAATGATAAGTACTGAGTGAACTGTTGATGTCATTGACCTTGACATTGTCAAATTCACAAATGTCAAATGAGGCTTCACAAAGCCTCATTTCGTTTCAGCCTCTTCTGCTTTTTTAGCCGCACAAAGTATCAGTTTGTAGTGAGATTTTTACTTGCACTATTCACCTGGGCACTTGATAAGCACAAATACGATAATTACGTCAATGCCGGCGGTCTGTACTTAACTGGAAGAAGAAAGAACAAAGAACAAGATTTGAAAATATTAGAGAATCGTGATATTCAATCTAAGCTTTCTCATATCCTATTTCCTAAACTAAAAAGTCAGAATACAGGGCAGCAAGTTTATCACAGGCTTGGCTGAGCGGAGTCATACTCACAGTTAGACAGGACAATCATATTCTACTTCTGGGTTCCTCTGCCTCCTTCCATTCTGAAGATTTTTGCAGATTATTTGTTTATTGTTTTAGAAAGAAAAATTTAAACCATGATTGTACATGTAGTTTTCTGTAGAACTTCAACTTAAAAGAATAAGAGTAGCATAGATTCATTGTATACCTATTACATTTCATTATCAAATTTGTATTGCTTTCACAGACCTATATCAATCGTTTCCGCAAGGTAATGGATGGCTCCCAGAATGCATCTCATGAGGATAAGAACCGTCTGACAAGCAAGATGGATGAAACAGAGAGGTCTATCTACCGAGCTGGGCAGACTAGTCTTAGGAGTTTCCAGAGCTGGGAGACAAGACAGATCACAAAGATATGTACATCAGACATGGTGGCTAACCACAGGAAAAGAAAGCGTGCAGTCATGGATGAGGATGATCAATAAAATAACCTTAACGAGAATAAAGTTACCTGTATAGACTTTGAAAACCAATTCAGCAAATATTGAGCATTACTGACACACCCATAAGTAAAGAGGCTAGATCCTCATGTCTTTGCAAGTCTAAGAGGAAGTCCATGCTTTTAGAAAATGTTCATCAAAGTTCTTGTTGAGGCTTTTGTGACTGTCTACTAGCTGTCACCTTTTGGAACCAACATCAAAGTATGAGAGATGGTACTCTTGCGTCTATCAACTTGTGAATGGGTACGGAATTCATTTATTCATCATTATCAAGTAAGGGATGTACATGTAGGCATTGACCTGTAATTCCTGGTTAGGCAGTCACTACGTCTGACATCATAACTTTAGGAAGTATGTGCTTGCAGGAGAATCAGGAAATGACATCCATAGTGTTCTTTCTAGTCATCATGGAAAGTCTTGGTATTTGTTTAAACAGAATTTGTCTGTAAGTGTGACTGTCTGTGAGGCGAAACGCTGAATAATTACAACGACTCAGGTTTTTACGGGAGTGTCAGTTTATTTTAGAGTCATAACCATCAAGGGGAATGCACTCTGTCTTTGATGAACGAAACCTTTATCTTTACTCCTTCGACTGCTTTATTCCGTTCTTCTTTCCTTCACTCCGGGAAAACTCTGTGCCTCCATAATACAAAGGATGCTCCAGAAAACCACAGATTTTCCTCACAAAACAGAAATCATGTTGCAAACATGATCATTTAAAATCAGCCAACCACAGGTGGCGCCAAACAAGTTTCTGACCTTCAAACTAGAAAAACTTAAGAACTGACAAAGTAATCTTTGACCAAGCGCCCTCTGTAGATTATTGCAATGTCAAGTTAAATCAATAAATACTAAATAAAATGACTTTAAAGGTACTATGTCCCATTTGCAGGCCAAAAATATGAAAAAGTTAAATTCCAACTGCATTTGAAAGATAATACTTATTTAGAACTTCCCTAAAAAAGGTGGGGCTTGAAAATGTCTTCAAGTGGGAAAATAATGACTATTAGTTGTCAAATCGACTTTAGGGCTATAGAGCCCAAAAGTAATAGTCTTGATTTTCAGACAATTGTACCGAATGGTCACACGTTTTATGCTGCGCAAAGATTCAATCAGTTTAATCTTGACCATCACAAGAAGTGGGTTATTGATGTAGACAAATGCTCATGTACCCTTTACAACTCTTTTCATGTATGTTATTACCAAAGAAGAAAAAAAGCCAGTCAGTCACTCAATAGTGTCTGACAGTGAAGTCTAGCAAGTAAACAGGTTTCCTTGCATAATTTGAATTTGAGGACACTGCTAACGTTTAAATTTCACAGATAGGACATACATGACATATTCATAATTCCTGCAAAGTTCTACAGAATTTGAGGTTGGTTGCAAAAGGGACATAGTACCTTTAACTGGCAAATACAAACTTACAACTTTCACAGTAAGTCTGTTGAATTTTTAATTGTTTTTGTTTGCACCTCTGTCTTCAGGCAGTCTGTTCCAATGGTACGTGTACTGAAGAATCAGTTTGTTATGTCAAGTCTATCGTGTTCTCTTTAAAGATAAACTCCAGTTCTGGTAATAAAAAAAAGAAAATTAATTCTCACAGAATCAAACGAAACTTACACTGAATGTTCAAGATTACAAATAAATGACATGTGCCAAACAATTTTGGAAGAAAATGTATACTGGCTGAGTAATGAGCATAAAAGACAAGGAAATCAAGGTAGTACTAGCCCCGACACCATGTGTGTTGTCCCATATATAGCTTTCTGTGTACAGTGCTTGTTACTTTACCAAGACTCGGCCAAATTTATTATGATTTTGATGACTCCAGAACCTTGCAGTACACACCAATACTTGTATGCTAGATGATCAGCCTTTTTTGATCGATTCTACACTGTTTCTTTCACAATGCAATCGCATGACCAGAACTCACCTTCATCTTTAAGTATCTTCACTGAGAACCCTATGTTGGAGCTACTTATGTAAATGGAAGGCCTAGTGAATGGGTATCCAATCCTGCAAAGAGACATGAGTGGTAAAATGATCATATTTATTTTGCACTGTATAAACACTACACACATAAAATATAAAATGGAAGACCATTATCAAACGTGACTCAAGACCACACTGCGCTTGTCCAGGGGACCCAGAAAATGCAATATGCTCAGAAATCAGGTAACAATCATTCGGTAGTCCTGGTAGTTCAAGCTTGAATATGAACAAATTAATTGATGGGAAAATGAGAAATGGTTTTTTAATGGTATGATTAATAATTGTACGTGTAGAGTTGATGCTTTAAGGTTACTAGTTACTACATTCCTTTTGACTCAATGAGACTGGATTTATTGGATTTTGAATGAAATGCCATTGTGAATATGATTTGATAAGGAATTTGAGGTTCATAAATTGTTATTGAATGTAAGAAATGCACAGGATTTAAGCCTTCCAATTTGAGAAAAAGCCAAATTCGTGACCTAGGACTAGGCTGGTCATCCATCTTGTATGATGGCATTATGATTCAGTGTCAATGCAACATCCTGCTATTTTAATTGTACTACATGTATTTATCTGATGAAGAATGTCAGTCATGAAGAATCAATATTTTAGAACATCAATATCAGAACCTTCTTCAGTTTCTTTCAAATTCCAGTCATAGTCGCGTCATGAGATCTGCAGTGGCCCTTAAATGTAGATGCACATTTACAGTTAACAACTAAATTATTCATTCCCTTACCAAGTTTTGTAAAAAAATTGGAGTATGTGAAAAAAAAAAGATTTTTCCATATAACCCAATTTATGTTTCTTAGGAATGTGATATATTAAAGCTCACATCTAAAAGTATCCAACAAAGGTCCTAATTCAATCAGTCCACCTTTCATTTATGAAAAACACTCACAAAAATAAACATCAAATTTACATGGGGTATGAATGATTCAGTTGTTCTAAATATATTCCTGTGTACAGCAATTGATAGAGACATGTTCCAGATCACTTGAACTAACGTGTGTAGGGTTCAGTGATGTGAATACAAGGATATTTATTTCAGTAATTAATAATACTTTGTTCCTAGCTAAGTGGTCCCTTCTTTGTACCAGAGATTAGTGTTAATCTTGAGTTCTGGTAATACATATACATGTATTATGGATTTGAGAAATTGGCCTCAGAGTAATAGAACCCCAGTAAATATCACTACAGTGTACAGTCATTCGTCAATTAGAATCCATGTCATGACATTGCGATGTTTCTTGATCTGACGAGGCCGGGTTATAAACTTATAATCAAGTAGTTTAAAAATAATACAAAGTTTTGGTATGGGGTCATGAATTTGGTTCAAATGAACATATTGGAAGCATGCGATCCTACAACATTGAATGATAGTTGTCGCGGTTGAAATTGAGTTGAAACTGATGAAATTGTAAATAATAAACTCTTTATGTTGTATAGCTCCCTCTCAAGTTCAAGATATTAATAGTTATAAAACAACGTTTCTTGACTAAAATCGACCAATTGGCTATTCCTGTTTGGAAATTATGTATCACAACTACATATTCTGAGATTTTCATAGTCGCAGTTACCATGGAATGGCCGTACCCGCTATTTGAAATTTATGAAAATTTACCGGGAGCACCGGTAAACTTTGATATTCAATTTTTCTCGAAAGCAGAAGTGTTTTAAGGGCTAAATTTTCTAGTGCCTATAATACATCCACAGAGGCATCCAAATATATAAAACTTGTAAAGAATCACTATCCAGCCAATTTTCAAAATTTCCCAAAACTTTGTATTACCTTTAAGCACTTCATGGGTTTTATCCCTTGCAGAGCATCTATTATATGTCCTCAAGCAAGGCATTTGATCTGCATTGCTTCTCTGCACCCAGGAGGGAACCAAAACCTTCATACTAAGTTACTTTTATTGTAAAGTTTAAAATATTTGAATAAAATCAGTGAAAATTTGAACAAAATTGGGCAAGGAATAAGGAAGTTAAAGCTTTTTGAAATGACTAGTCACTAGAGGGGGATATTCGATTTGATGACATTATTGGTGGACAACTCTCCATGCCTTTAATTTGTACATAAAATTTCACAATTCTTTCGTTTTCTTCGTATTTATTTGTGTTCTTGATCCGACTTCATAACATGTGAAGTAGAATATCATTTTGCATTCTATACCTACTTATCTCTTGCTTGCTTACTTGCTTGCTTAAGTCGGGTCAACTGCCCGAGCTGTGATAGCCTTCAACACATTCCTGTCCAGCATGGCTGCTTTTACCTCTGACAGTTCAAGTCCCGTATCCTTCTCGAGTAGGTCTGTATAGGTAAGATGAGGTCTTCCAGGTTTCTTCTTCAGAGTAAAAGCTGAGATATTGGTTCATTGATGTTCCTACAGCTGTGGCCTGCAAAACGTAGTCTTCTTTCCCTGATTATCTCAATCACAAGAAAGAAGAAAAAACATGAAATTTGATGTACAAAAGGCATGGAGAGTCCACAAATGATGTCATCAAATTGAATATTGCCCTCTAGTGACTAGTCATTTCAAAAAGCTTTAACTTCCTTCTTCCTTTGCCTGATTTTGTTCAAATTTTCACTGATTTTATTCAAATATCTTAAACTTTACAATAAAAGTAACTTAGTATGAAGGTTTTGGTTCCCTTTAAGTGGGTACCTGCTAGGAATCAAAGTAATTTTAGTTTGCTTAGCAATGTGAGTGCTTGGCTGAAATGCTCCCTAGGAGGGAAGAATGTGCCTTGAAGTACAGAACTGCAGGTCATTAAAGCAAAATGTGTGTACATCAGTTATCATTGATATCAGAAATAAATGTCATTGTACAATGTACATTAGTAAAGATTTTCCAGTTGTTCTTTGTATGACTTATCAGTTTGTTTCCTTCATCCAAAATTTTCTTTTAATCTTGTGAGGCGAGAAGTGTGGTTAAATAATATTAATTTCATGTTGTTGATGGGGTTTGTTTGAAATAGGCACCTCCATAAAGTTATGTCCTGTGTGCCAGTTGCTGAAAGGAGTCAGAACTCAGAAGACACTGTTCATGCATGGACCCACTACATGGTTCATGCATTACATGATTTTACATCATTTATCAATTTATTTGAAAATATGTGTGTTGTGAGTTGTGACATTGAATGAGACATTATGATACAAATAAAAGAAGTACCCCCCCCCCCCCTCCCTTCCCCTCCATTTAATGGAGCACCCTTCCAATGACAAGTCAGTGCTTCATGAAATGGGGTGTGGTCGATTTTGGTCGATTTTCCCTGTGTTTAAACTGCCTTTTTTTTCTTCTCTTTTTGTATTAAATACAAATAACAGAATAAAAATGGAAAAAAAAAACACTGAAAACTAATATTATGTAAAAATAGAGAGACAAGAGATTGATCGGAGAGGGAGAGAGAGAGAGAGAGAGAGAGAGAAGGACGCTAATTTTAATATAAAACCATTGGTAAATTAGATTAGATCACCTCGTAAACAACAAGGGGTTATCGCACTTTTAGAAATTTCATCTCGAGTTCAACGACCTTTCACTGTGAAGCAAGATGGCGACCTCCATGTTCATTTTTGTGGTGTGAGGCACGTGATTATACTATCCAGTTTTTCCGTGCAGACGATGATGATGATGAGTTAGGATTCTTACCAGTGCTTTTGAAAATGTACTGTAGGTATACAAATAAGAATATCTTTACAGAAAAGGGTGTTATTCTACCATTAGTTCGATCTCTTAGTGGCGAGTTTGTTCACCAGTCCCACTTGCGACGTCTGGTGTTGTATTCTAAAGTTGACATTCAAAATCGTAAAGGAATTCAAGCACATCGTTTCTGCCTGGTAAGAAATCTTGTTCATCAGGACCACATCATGCCGAAGAGAAAAAGCAAGGTAATTGAGCGTAACTTTCATCTAGACCTACCTAGACTCTAATTTTCTCTAGAGAAGTAGAGTCTTGACCTAGCATTTTTCTTTCTTGTTTGATTATTTAGGCTAATAAACATTATGAAATTGTAATGAATATCACAAAATGGTTTGCATGAATTGCATTATTGTCAATCATATACATGCATGGTAATGATAATGTTAAATCAAAAGCTGTGATTAAAAGGGCGGAGGTAGCCTAGCCTGCGCCGGCCTACAAAACAATACATGATAGAACGAAGCACCACTCAATGTAACGACCGGAAGTTTCAACAGGATGGCCTCACACTTCCATACACTGATGCTGATGATCAGTAGGGGCACTGGTCAGAGAATAAGGATCGTCCGACTACGAGGATATCCTCTAAACGTGGACAAATCGCGCCCTAAACAATAAGGATCGTTCACATTTTCGCGAACGATCCGTATTAACGAGCTGCGCATTGGTGATGTGAAAAAAGGATTCCAAGATGATCATGCTCCATGATGCATTTCTCTTTGACGCAGCACAGAGACTTTCACGGTATGAAGGATAAATCCTCGGGAAGACGGACAACCCATAACAGTAGATGATGAACTGGGGGTATTTTATAATGCAGAAGTTTTAAACTTTGTATTTCGGTTTTAAAAAGTTTAAATGAAACCTACATGATATGTATGATGTGGAATATTTCTCTTTTTTCATGCATTTTCATTTCAGAACTCAAACCATCCTCAGAAGATCAAAAAATTTGCACATGAGCAGCAGTTCGAGGGTGTGGAGTACTACTTTGAAAATGGTAAATTCCTTGATTGTGAAATGATCTTGCAAGTACATGCTCAATATGTTATTCTAAACTTATCAGTCATTGTTTTATGGACAGGTGTCCCCCTCCCTTAATAACTAAAAATGAAAGCCTTGGAGAAGTGCCTACCCTCCCTCCCTCCCCAATGCATTACAATTTTCTAATTACTTGATGTAGTATAGGTGCAGGTTAAAGGAGTAAAGGTGTGAGAAATTATGTGCAAAGTATCTTCAGCATCTGTGAAAGCCTGGTATTGATATATAAATGATTGATATGCTTTCTTTAAGGAAGAAAAGTATCTAAGTAATAATTGTATAGGGTAAAGAGGAAGAAAGTATGCATATTTGTGTTTTATAGCAGTCTCGATCATATTTAAACAGATGCTTAATATGATTACCTATAGAACATTGAATGGAAGTGCATTTCAGCTAACAAGTTTACTCACTAGTTATGTATTTTTATTGTCACAAAATGCATAATTGGAATCCTTATGGAAGAGATTTTTTTTAAATTCTTAACAGAAATGTGATGGTTATGTGAAGACTTGATAAAGCTAAATAAATTTGAATGAATAAGATATTATATGTCAGTACCAGAATATATGTTAGTAAGAGAATTGTTTTACTTTTATTTTATTTTATGTATATTCAGGATTAAGAAAGATCAAGCCGTATGTTTACAAGTTTGAATGTTATGCTAAAGGACGATGGTTTGGCAGCAAACTTCTGGATGTCTTCAAAAAAGAGTTTAGGTTGGAGTCAGCTGAATATTATGTAAGTATCATGTCAGATTTGTTGTCATCATAATCACCAACTTCAACTTCTATAAAATTATTATCATCTGTGCAATCACAATCCTTTAAGAATTAGCTCAAGTTACACAGGAACTCTGTGCTGAAAAGGTGATCATTTCATGGAACACAAATCTGCTATGTAATTATTTATTTGAACCTAGGTGCAGAAAATTGCAAAAAAAATTTGATGTGAAGGCATAGAAGAATAACAGAGACATTACATTAATAATTTCATATCCGTACATAAGCCATAAGCCTGGTGAGTGCAGGTGTGAGCCTGGGTGAGCATAAGTTATTGTCATTGGTGGATTTTTGGGGGAAATCTTTCTACTTGTCATGTAGATCCAGGTATTCAGATTAATAATGATAATAATAATAATGGGTTCTTGTATAGCGCTCATGTCAGTCAGATTTGATCCTCCTGGCGATCTTGATTATTACCCCGGCTTTAGCACAGCTGCCATACGGCGCTCTAGCATTTCAAGGAATAAATTCCTACCAGGTACCCATTTACTTCACCTGGGTGGAATGTGGCAAATGTAGACCAATGTCTTGACAAAGGACATTAGTGCGGCTTCGGGACTCAAATTGCGGACCTTGAGATCGACAGTCTGGCGACGTATCCACTCGACCACAGCACCTCTACATGTATCCCTCATTTCAATGTTTTGATGTCTACTCTGCTCTTAATTACATTCATTCAGGAAACAGCAATCCATGAAGGACTGATCAGAGTGAACAAAGGCAAGGCATCCCCGGATCTGATCTTAAAGAACAATGATTTCATGCAATCTAAGGTTCATAGACATGAACCACCGGTATCGGGAGAACCAATCCAGGTCATAGCAGATACACAAGATTATCTTGTCATCAATAAACCATCTTCGATACCGGTACGAACTTAACAAGCCAGTAGATGAATCTATGTTTTATTAGACACGATTAGAGTTTGATTATTTTATGCGTACATCGATCCAAACTCCTCTATTCTACTAAAATTTAAACCCAATGCTAGGTCAAGGTTTATGGGTTATACAAAAGAAATTGTTCGGTTTTTTATTTGTCAATTGTGATTTTAGACCCAGGGTTAGGGTAAACCCAATGCTAGGTCAAGGTTTATGGGTTTGACAAAAGAAATAATTCAGTTTTTCATTTGTTAATTGTGATTCTAGACCCAGGGTTAGGGTTATCTGAATAAGTAGAATACAGACTGAAAAGGAGTCTCTGTCATGGTGACAGTAAAGTCTTTTACAATGTAAATGATTTCATGTTGTATTATATTTCCTATCAAAATGAATGAGGAAAACATTTCATGCTGTCAAATATCATAACAATTTTTTAGACAAGTTTTAGAGTAAGTGAACTACATTTACATGTTTATAGGCACTTTGTCATTACTGTATGAAGTTTCCAGCTGCTGTAGCTTCTCTCACGTAATGAATTAAAAACACTGTGAGATTTGATGGAGTCTAGGTAGAATATATACTCCTTTTTTTCATTATTTCTTTAGAAAAATGTTCATTTAATGTGATCCAACAAACTTTTCATTCTTACCACAGGTTCATCCGTGTGGGAAGTATAGACATAATACCATAGTATTCATCCTGGGCAAAGATTATGGATTCAAAGGCCTTCATAGTAAGTAGGGTACATTTTAACCTTTAATTAACAAATCTGACCTTTGACTCTGAAGTAGTCGTGAAAACATCAACTTATGATATGAGTAGTGGTAACTGAATATGTAGTATACAATAAATGAGGAGCTATGATGTATACATGTACATGAATTGATTCAGAGAATATGATTTTCAAGCTGATATTTTAAAGAGCTGATATAACATCTTGGCAAAGAGTTGATATCAATTGCAACTATGTACATAAGAGATAGGAGACTGCAAACTTGCGATTGATTTGGATCAATCGCAACTCTTTGTAAGAGGGGGCCCAGAATTGCCATTATCCATTCATCAAAATAGCAACACGAATGCAATATGAGTTGCTTTAGTCCCTTTTTCTTTTTTATTTAAAAAGTATTTTAATCAACTAATGTCAATGTATCTTCCTTATGCTTCCTTACGCTATATAAATCCAATCATTGTTATTGTTATTACTAATATTATTATGATTATTATTATTATTATCATCTTTATATTGAATCCCAGCAATTCACCGTTTGGATAGACTCACTTCTGGACTCCTTCTTTTTGCAAGGTTTGTGAGGGTTATTAATTATCTTCTTTTTTCCCCTTTTTTGTTGTTGGTCCTTTGATGTTGTTAATCCCAACCCGTTTCTCCTTTTCTCATTACTGTTTGCCTTGTGTGGGATCCCATCCTCCACACCGTATACATCTTCACATTCTCATCTTGTAATTACATGGCGAATATGTTTTACTAGTCATGAAAAGGTGTTTTTCCTGAAGGAATTCTTCATAGCTTTTTATGGTGAGAATATGAGAGGTATTTGTGTTAATACAATATTGGGTAGTCCTTATAAGAAATGTTGATTATTATTTTATGGAAAGGAACCAATTACAAGAGGAACAAAACAACCAGTGTTTAAGCATTTAAATGATTACAGTATTCCTTTGATTTAGTTCAAACTAAAAACCTTTAGTTATACTATCAAAGAAAGAAGAGATGCCCAACATTTCAGGCAGTATACTCTGTCATCTGGATTGCTAGAAGACTGGAGTTTTATGAAAATTGATACATTTATTACTATGATATTTAATGAGAAGGTCGAGTTCTGGAGAGGTGAAAAATAATTTGTGAGCCTTTTCATTGTTATTATGGAAGTGTGGAATAACATCAGAGAAAAAACGTTCCCTGAAAAGCATTGCTCTTCAAATGCCTTTATATTTGAAATATGACATGTAACAGCTTAAAAAAATGAGGACCACATTTTTATGCCACATGTTTGTGTAGTTCCATATACATCTTTCTGTGTACAGTGCTTGTTACTATTACCAAGACTGGGCCAAATTTCTTATGATTTTGATGATCCCACAACCTAGCAGTACACACAAATCCTTATATGCTACATGATCAACTTTTTCTGATCGATTCGAAACTGTTTCTTTCACAACGCAATCGCATGACCAGAACTCAACTTTATCTTTAATGATTAGCAGACATATTTATTCTTTGTTACAGTCATTTTTTCCCTTCAGATAGCAACTTTCCTTTATCATTTTATGAATTGAATTCCTCTGTCCTTTCAGAACACTTCAGGTATCTCATCGCCTAGATGCCTACGTCAGAGAAAGAAAGCTAGAGAAGACTTATGTGTGTAAAGCCCATGGAGAGTTTCCAAGGTATTAGGATGATTTTCATCTACCGGTATATATAGTGAGTGATTTCAAGTACGGTGTTCGGTGTCTGTGTTGGTGTTAAGAGCGTAAAAAGGGTGATGAACCGAGCTCCAACACCGACGGTCAGTTTAGAAGGACGATACCTATCATGCGTGCACGTTATCGATAGCCCAACACCAGCGTCAACACCGAGTGACGGTCCTTCTCTACACGTGAAAAGTCTTGCGATACATCATATTGAATATCAAATGTAAATTCATATTAGAAAATCAAAAGATAAAATATAATTTCACTTAAAAAACATATATAGCTCCCATGATTTACAGCTGTTTTGACTGTACGATGGATTTTTACCTTGGTATGATCGTGAGATTCGTGCCAGATGTCCGCATAGTTACCTGTGGTATACTGCAACACCAACATCAACACCGAACTTGAAATCATGAATTTCCCAATCCCTAGGGGCTGGTGTTGGTGAATAGGAAAATTACACGTAAATCGTCAACACCAACCGCGATACTCGGTTCAGCAGACGACATTCAACACCAGCCCTCAACACAGACTACCGGAAATGCATCGTATTTCCCCGAGGTCAATCCCAACACTAGCATGAGTTCAAGTTCGGTGTTGTAGCTGGTGTTGGTGTTCTCACAGCACTGAACGTTTGACTACTCAGAATAAGTGCATCTTCTTACCAGAGGTACCCTGTGTTTTCCATCAACAACATATTTGCGGAAAATATCTGTTAAAGCATGGGGTGTATCATCCTTGAGAAGAATACCGGTACTGACATATATCATGTAAACTGGTGTCAGTGATTTATCAAACAACTTATTTTATGTCCAGCCATTTTTTCTCGATTTGAGCACCCTTGTTCATGGGGCTCTAATTGTGAGAGCTTGGATGTATTGATACAGAATATCTGAATGATGATGAAATAGATTTTGTATAGGGGCTGGTGAATATATGTACACATGATTTGTTTTGCTCCCCATTTCCACAATTCATGGTAATGAAAAAAAGTTTGCTCAAGATGTTGGTGCATGGATTTTATTTCCTATCACAGAATATATTGAAAGTGTGATATCACCTTTCCAACTTTTAATGATTTGTTCCATGACTTTGATTGGATTTGCTGTAATCTCACTTTATTTGGCCCTCCTTCTTTCTTGTTTCTTGTTTATTGTTCTGCACTTTTCTACAGTGGTTGGTGTAAAATGATTTGTGTATTGACTTGTACATGTCATGTCACAAACTTTAACAAAAATGAATGTTGAATTTATTGATGTCTTTTTTTTTACCACCACAGTACACCTGTAGTCTGTGAGGAACCAATCTTTATAGTATCTCACAAGATTGGTGTTTGTAGAGTAAAGGAGGATGGGAAGCCTTGTAAGACAAGATTTGAAAGACTCAGCTACGATGGAGAAACCAGTATCATCAAATGTGAGTTACCTTATATGTCATCCCAATGTTTCTCATAGCATATTGAAGGTTGAACTATTGGAAGTATATGGTCATTACAGTTATCTTGAATGAGTCTTCTCTTATGTACATGTATACATTCTCATTTGTAAAACAGTAGAAGGAAGGATACCTGATTAGATAGCAGCTAGTTTGATTTGAAATATTTGCCTCACCAATTTGCCTCGGTTTTCAAAGATTTCAGAATGGCATTGTCTCTTTTATTGTAATTCATCTTTAGTGTTCATGTACCATGTCAGGTGGAAAAAATTAAATATATTAAAATGTAATATATTCTGTTTTGTCGCAGCAATTGGTGACTGTCTACTTTTTATTCTCAATTCACAAAGAGGACAGTAGTAGTTTGGTGAAAGGATTTGCAGATGTAATGTGATACCTGACAAGATATGGAAATTGAAACTTCCTAAGAAGAAGGTGTTAGATGGGTACCTGGCAGGATCTAGTCCAGATCTAGTCCTTGAAAATGCACTGTGGGCTGAATTGATACCGACTGCCAGAGCTATACTATGGTTATAAATTCTTTGGAAACGCATAGAGATGTTATACATGTATCAAAATGGGATGTGTGTTCTACAAGAACGGTTTACTCTTATTGTTATTACCTTTAATGATATGAGCTCCAGACTAGTACCTAAGTTACGCTCTTAAGAATGCACGGAAGGAACAGTACTTATTACATTGAATCACAATAAGTAGAATATTTCTCTTTTGTTGATGTTCATCTTACAGGTCATCCCCACACTGGTCGAATGCATCAGATCCGTGTGCATCTTCAGTACCTAGGCTTTCCCATCATCAATGATCCTCTCTATAATAACACTGTCTGGGGTCAGCATAGAGGCAGGGGAGGAAACAACCAACTTACCGATGAACAGGTGGGAATAAGACAATTAATTAATTACCCATTCGTACACTGTTCTCTTATATAGCTAATGGGAATACTGGATCAGTTCCAAAAGATAAACTCAGATAGAGTGCTTTCTACCAGGAGGTACCCATACAAGGCAGGCTTGAAGGTACATATAGCCAAGTAACAGTAGTAACATTGGACAGGAATGGGAAATAATGCTTAAATTCTACTGATATATTTTACACAGTGAGCAATAGTTGTTACAAGGTGCAGTAGGCGTGAAGTAATACACCTAGGTCATGTAAGTCTGTGCACAAAGGGCAGCGGTCCAATTTAGAGGCATGTGGGTAGGGGCTGGGAATTAGGGGTATAAACAGCATAGATATATTGCGTGATGTCCATTTTGTAGAGATGATCATTTGGTTTCAAGATTTTTACAGTGGGACTATAGCTCTTGAACTCATCCCATCATACTTTAACTTTCTCTTCTCAATATTATCTCTTCTTTCTTTTCCCTCCATCTCTCTCTCTCTCTTTCTCTCTTTCTATATATCACTATCTCATACAGATATACACACACTCTCTTTCTCTCTCTGCACATTTCATTCTCTTTACCTGTCTATCTGTGTCATAATATGCATATCCATCTTATCTTCATTGTGTATCACACTTTTTCTTTCCTGTTAATTCAGCTTCTGAAGGACTTAATAGACCAGCATGACATAGATATAGATTCTGCATTAGAGAAGGCACGACTCCAGGCACTCATCAACAAACCAAAGGTTACCAGCCACATAGACACAGCTAGACCTGAGGATGCATCCCTCACTCCAGGATCACAGGAACCATCAAAGGATGCGGTCATCAATACAAAGGATGTTAGGACATCAGGCACATTCATTCCAAGCACAAATGAGTCTGACCAAGTACATCTGTCAGTAGCAAGCATAACGCACTGTGCAACAACTACAGAGGAACTTGGAGAAGATACTGCAGTGGAAATCACAAGCAATAGCCATGTAGAATGTAGTCCACTAGGTGATCCTCCAGCAACCGTCAGCAGCTCTATGGGTGTCACTGATGAAGTAACCAAGGCATGTCCATCTGATAAGGATGATAAGGGCATCGTTGGAAATGGTCGCACATCTATCAATAGTTCAAGTATGGGTAACAGCAACATCTTTGGCAATCCAGGAATGGTAGAGCGTTCACATGACAAAACCAGGACGAGTACTGAGGAAGTATGCAGGAGCATGTCTTCTGCAACCAGTGATGCTATGAAGGATAAGGATGATGATGCTGTGAGGGAAGTCCAAGATGTTGAGAGTACAGAGACGAGGACGTTTTCGGATGTTGGGAATATCAAGGATGACTGTAACGAGGAGAGTTTGATTGATGAGAGGACGGACAAACTTGCTGTTTCTCTCTGTCGGGAATGTCGTGATCCGATGCCAGACCCTGAACCTGATGAGATGTTGATCTACTTACATGCTCTCACATACAAAGTAAGTGTGACTTTGGGGTCCGCCAATCTTTCATGTGCTGTTAATCTAATTTACTATAAATACAACATGTGTTGGTTTTTGTCTTCAGAACTTAACTTTCTTTTGTACCATATATAATATTATTATGTTCAGGTCTAGGGAGAGTTAGCCTTTTTGCTTTCCAGTAAGTGATATAAATAAAAATTGGTGAAGGTGGACAATTTCATCCAAAGCAGGGCTGCAGTGATTGCAGAGACAAATTTCACAAAAATTCCACTGAAAAAAATAACTATCTGCAATATGGAAACCAAGGTTACATGTACATGTATCTTAATCATTTTTTCTGAACTAGTTTTGATACTCTGTATATTTTTTGAATTGCATCTAAGAAGAAAATAATTTTAAAAGAGTTAATGTGATTCTGTGCTCTTTTATGAAGTATTATTCATTTTATCATGCAAGAAAGTAATCATTTTAGTTGAGTTTCTTCTTCATTGAAATGTAATCTATCTCCTAAATTCTGAGATGGCACAATTGACTCTTTTGTTTTCTCTTCTTTCATCTTTAACAGGGTCCAGACTTTGAGTTCAGTGCACCTATGCCAGCTTGGGCTCAAGAACACTTTGAACGTACAGGCACTAAATACTCCTAAAGGGAAACACTATCATCACGTTTGGGAAACATCTTTTATGAGCAGGAATGCCATTAAAAAAACAAACTATTACATCATTTTCTCCAGGTGCAAATCTTAATGGTGCATTTGACGTATCTGTGATCACAGATGTCTTTGACATATGAGAATGATTTTATGAGAACTGCATTTAGTCAACACTAACAGGTATTCAGGACTCGTCTTTTTAAAACCTAACCTAGCCATCCTAGCGCTGCATATTAATATTTGCATATATGAATATTTGCGTTGGTACGGTATGGTGGAGATCAAAATAAAAACCGGCCAGATTCTGGTCTAACCAGTATGTCGCAATGATTATGGACAAGTTACGACCTTAGTAGTCATTCGTTTTACAGTAAGCCTCCCAATTTTCTCGCAATGTCATTTATTTTAAGTAAACATAGCTTTACACTTGTAATTTTTGTATGAAATCCCATTATTTGATAAATTATCGCATCAGATTCTGTCTGCGTGCATATCATGAATATGTAAGACTAGCGCATGACGTATAGGTTCCTATTGAGCCAATCAAATGCAGCGGTAGGATGGCTAGGTTAGGTTTTAAAAAAGAGGCATCCAAGACGCATTGGTGCCCAAGATCTAGGTTCAGAGATTTCTACATAAATAGTCAAGCAGTTCATCCCAATGTCACAGAGCTCAGGCTACACTGAAAAGTGATATTAAATGATCAGTTCGTGATGTTTACTTTATGTAAGAATCAATTGATATGAATCCACCATTCCACACATATAAAGAAATAATTGAAAGTTCTGTGTTACACCGATCTGATTACATGCTCTTGATTACCTGTATGTTGACAAAGCACTCTGGCAGTGCCTACCTCAATGGGCATGAAGCAAATTTATTGAAGGGGAGGGGGTCCTTTACAAATAGTGTTTTTCTAACTACCAGCCAGCCCCCCCCCCCCCCCCTCCATTGTGCATTTGTGTACAATATGTGAATTCTTGCAATATAGTTCATACAATTATATTACTGTGTAATTTAAACCTCCTTTGGTATAGTGTCAGGTAGTGTAGTGGCACAAGAACAAGAAGATGCTTCTGTAACGTGATTGTTTGCTACAATTTTTTTTTAGGGGGGGGATCTTAAAGTTCAGTATTATTGAGTGTAAATCAAGTCGGTAGAGGAACTGTACAGTGTACATCCTAATACTATGCTTCTCCCTGTATGAATTGACATGATTTTCCACAATATTCCTATCTGAATGCATATTTAAATACCTCCAAGCTGCGTTTGTACTTATTTTTGTCCAACATGTTCATTTAAATATGCATGACATGTATTAATTCCTCATGAATATTTCCTCCCTTTTTCCACATGTCTATTTCTGTTTGTTCTTTTTGCAAAAATATGAAATAGAAAAGATCAAATAAAGACTCTAAAACACCCCACAACATTTTCATAGAATTGGTCATCATTTTAATTTTGAATTATTGTCCATAACTTTGAGGTTCAAAGATTTATCAAGTACAATGGTTTGGCAGTATATCAGTCTTATACTTATATTTTATAACATTGCTATAGTTTTTGTAACCTTAAACTGTTTACACCAGAAGCACTGCCAAAAAATGAAATAAGAACTGTTTTTAATTATTTCAACTTTTTGACAGATCTTTAAAATAAAAAAGCAAATCTTTCCTGAGTTATTAAGAAAGACACACATGTAGTTTCAAATTAACTATTGACGGTATGTCGTAGCTGCAGCTATCTTGAGCTGTAGAGAGATGTCACTTTCTCCATGATCATACAAAAACTCAGAAATAAAAAAAAACACTGAGTTGGCCCTTATTTGTGAAATGGAATTATCAACCTGGTTCATCTTGGTACACTGTTCTATAATGTCAAGTGCCAACCATTGTATGATCCTGTAACAAAATAAAAGTACAAAATGATTATAGTCATAGAATGAAAACAGGAAGGACATTTTTATAAATGACTTGGTTTTCTTTTCTTCAATTGGTAAGAGATTATAAAAAAAACATAGTACGGACATTCACCATTGTGTAGGTATACACAGTACATGCTTGCACTAATATTGACAAATTTACATTTGGATGGTTAAACTTGATCAATGATATGCTCTCTATACAACATATTGGACTGTACAAATGTTTTCACTAGTATACGAACAGGCATTTAGTCAAAAAGATATGCTAACACAACATGATATGCAAATTACACCACACAATGCATATGAATATTTCATACACAATTAAGCCAATTGACTACAGAATTTTCTCATTATCCATAAGTTTACTACAGGAACTACCCAGTTTCAGTACCAGTAGTCGATGAGTCAAATACCAATATACAAGATTTCATAACGGGCAAGAAAAAAGAAGCACCAAGGATAATACAAGATGTTATAAACACAAGGATAATACAAGATGTTGTAAACACAAGGATAATACAAGATGTTATAAACACAAGGATAATACAAGATGTTATAAACACAAGGATAATACAAGATGTTGTAAACACAATAATGCAGCTCTGAAAGGAAAGAGGGTAGCCAAAATGAAAGCTTACCTTTAAGAAAACAAATTACACAAGCTGGAGTACATAGATATTAAAAACAAAATTAAAATTTGTATAAAATAGTTTACATATTTCTTGCAAGTACACTTTAATCACTTTTTTTGTGTATAATCCTATGGACTTGGTTATAAAAGGAATGTATTAAAAGAGTGTATTTTGTGCTACTGACATAAATTATTTTGTATCATGTGATTTATTCACCCTTTTAAAGTCCGGTGTTCTGACTGGAGGGGGGGGGGGCAGACAGGAGTAACACCATCACCCAGCTCCCCTTTAAAAAATATCTTTAAAAGCTTGTCTCTTTTACACCTGCATTGTTAGCTGTTGAATCGTACTAAAGCAGAGTTTTTTGTTCTATGATAACCTAGTAACCCTTCAGATCCCGATCATTAACAAAACAAAATCATCATGAAAATATCTTTACAGGCCATTTCAAATAATGGTAACCAAACTTAATGCATACATCTTTGTGCGATGCTTCGATACAACTTTTTCATTCACTTTTTTCAAAAAATGTATTTCAATATAATGCAAATGCACGTATATGTATTACATGATGTTAGGTAGGTCACACGATTATGTGTCTCCTGTCTAGCAACAGCTCATATAATTTGTATTCTGACTATCGAGATACAAGCACTCATAACGAGTGAATGAAACGATTTGTATCAAGGCATATACATATGCATTAAATTGAGCTACAATTCGAAAATGGTCTATTGGATAATTCCCTTATCTTTGAAGGCAATATAGTCATATCAAGTGCATTATAATCTTATACATTTATTCCCCCCCCCCCCTACACAATGAGGCAGTCAATATGAATATAATTATAATCATTCAATCCTTTTCTATTATAACCATCACTTATATGAGGCAAATGCTTAATGGATGCGAGACAGTAGGCCATATGCTCTCAGGCACAGTAAATATGCCATAAATAACAATTCTGTAAAAGTATGTTATTTATAATGAGTCAACACAACCTTCAACATCAAGTACCATATTCAGATTTCATAGAGCTTAAAAAATACCCCTTAACTATTGTATAATGTCACAACTGCAGGCAGTTTAGCATTTTCAAAGTCAACAGTTTATTCACAATATTCATTATTTCATTTTTAAAAACCAATGAGAAATTTACAATATGTACAAATCATGTATATAGTACTGTTTATATAGAAAATTGAGAATATAATATGTAATATGAAAAAATATATAAATATGTAGATTATAAAGTGAGCTATTTCTACAAAAAATTCTTACAAGAACATACATGTTTCAAAAATTTTTAAAAATCAATCAACATTACAAATGATCAAAACATGAAGGCTGATATACATTCATTTCATTTTAACACAATGTAAAATTTACTTAGTATCTAAAATTCAAATATATACATCCTCATATATATCTCAGTGAAATGTAATGATTTAAAAACATAATTCCAGCCATACATGTGAATGTAGACCAAGCACATTCAGTGTTTTAAAATAATTATAATAACAAAATAATTTTCATATATTAGAAGAGTTGTAAAAATATTGTAATGGCAATAATAGTCTTTCAATTGAAATCTCTTTATCCTGATTGTATCATTTAAAAGAAGAAAAAAACATTCCTATCAAAATATTCCTATTGATTATGAAAGCAGAGTTGTATCTGTGATTAATATTGCTCATATACATCCTGTTGACTCAAGGTGTGTACCATATATACATAGTAAATATCACATGCTCCTCAAAGCAATGTAATACAATATGTAAACTTATAATTTTTGAGGTGAATACACAGTCACATAACATTGAAGAACGATATTTGTGATATAAATTGGAGGGTATTTGCTATGTTATGCTTTGCTCCTTCTCAAGTCATCCCTCTTGATTACATTCAGACTGCTTGCTTCAAAGGTGAGCCGCTATTGACAACCCAACCCAACGGCAACCATGGATGTGTGCACACTAATGACTGATCGAACCTCAAGTGATTATATTACAGCCGACACGATACATAATTACAAACAACCCATTTTCAGTATGCAGTACGAATAGGAAATCCGGGGTGGGGTGGTTTTAAGAAGCAGTACATGAAAGAATATTGCTTGCTGTTATCGAGAGTAGGCTGAATACGAGTATTGAATGTGGATAGCTCAGATACCTTATAGTAATATCTGTAAGGTACACAAAGAGACATCTGCAAGAGGCAGGCCTTGGCAAAGTCAATCTTAAGTAAAGTTTGCTTCATTTATTTTCTTCATATTACTTTACGTTATTGAGGTGGACGGTTATATTGCTAGATGACTCCAATAAAGTTTGAAGCATCAAGTTTCGTTGATATTGATGATCGACAAGTGTTCCTACAGCAACTCGCTGTACTGAACAGCATCTGTAGGTGAAAGCATTGTAGTCACATTGGTGAGATTAGCCATAGACATCTCTCTCTCGATGGCAATAGTCCTCAGGGGTGGTACAATCAACACTCGACACACAATGGCAAGGCCAAGGTAGACAAAACCAAGACATAAAAACAAGAAGCGCAGCTGCGCAAGCTCCCACACCGATGTCTTTCTAGGTTTGTCCTTTGATGATTCCATCATTTTGGTAACCTCACTACTCACTGCGACATTCCCGTTTTGACATGAGCTATTATTTGCACTCTTGTTGGGTTCGTTGATACTTATTTCATCAGTCATGACTTGAAGGTATCCATTGAGAGCCACTGGCCGGATCCCGTCACACTGATCATCACCGTAGTTTCCTTCTGTGTTTGAACTGGCATCGGTGACAGCACTGGTCTGCTGAGAACTTGACAGGCCTTTCCTACAGTGTCCATCATTGTGCTCGGTGGCACTTTTAGTAGGGTGTCTATCGCTTGTTCCGTTGGGTGTTGTTTCAAGATCAGTCTGAGAGGCTGCATGATGACTTTTAGCCAAATAGTTGCGCCTCTCATCTTCATGTTCTTCCACACGTTCAATTCTCTTCTGCGCCTGTAAGAAATACACACAAAGAATGGATATAACGATAATGAGATACACCATACATGTTCAAGTTCACGTTAAAGTTGACATTTATTTTTATTAATCAATAAAAAAATATATATATAAAATTTTATAAAATAGATCACAAAATAATGAATGAGGAGACAGCTAATAAAGGCAAGATTTTGACTTTTTTTATTCAGAGCATTGTAAAAAAAAAAATAGTTTACTGAGGGTAGCCTCATCAGTATTCATACTGTTCTCCGAGGGCCCTAGCTGCAATCATATTATTACCAGACTTTAGCCGAGCTACCATAAGGTGCTCAAACATTCAAAGGATTTCTTTCTACCGGGTACCCATTTGTGGCATATGTAGATTAAAATCTTGCCAAAGGACATTGGTACCGTAGTGGGACTCGAACCGTGAACCATCTGAGTCACAGCCCAGCAACGCGTATCCACAAGAACACCACATCTCTTTAACAAACCAAATACTTTGGAAACAATCATCTTACTTTTTTTGTTTCTTTTTTCCAGTTTAAGGTGAGAGTGAAGACAACAAGGAAGAGAGCTTGGATGAAGAGGCCTAACGTCATGCCACTCCAAAAACCTGCAAGTTAACAATCAAAGCTCAAAGTCAATCAGGCTCTTCCTTGGGCTTATCTATCTCTAATCTATTGTTTTTTTTACATGACACAAAAGACAAAGACAATGACCTCTATCAATTCAGCATGGCTACTTATAAAATGTGGACATTTCTGTGATCAGTACACTGTATTGCAATAATCATTTCCAATTATCTTACCATTTCAAATGGGCAGTTAATCATATAAATTGGCTGAGAAAAGCAGATTGCAGTGACTTCAGATCACTAGCACATATTTATTTCTATGTTTCATAGCTTGGAGGCCATTGGGGCGACAATATAAACGGACCTTGAGACACAGGTTCTCCATAACTTCCTGTTTTCAGCTGTTCTAGTTAGCTCATGATCAAATGAAATAGACCACAGATGAGTGTTATATTGTAAATTTAAAGAGTTATTGTAACAGAAATGGAGATTGTATAGCTTTAAAGTAGTTGTACGAAGAAATATCACAAAATGGGCAAATTATACATGTAAGGAAAGCTTATATCATTGAGAACATGAATCATTTGCTTTAAAGTTGTGTAAATATCAATTAAACACTTCAATAAGCTTTTTAAAAGACCGTTCTCAGAATTTCAAATCCTGGCATGACGTCATAAGTGGGTCAGGGAGCCGCAACGCTAGCTGGGGGCGCTAGCAAGAAGCACAAATACACAGAGTTTACACGTCCGAGGTTGAATAGTGAAAGTGGACTGACAATTCAGGTCATAACAATTAAAAATTGCCTGTTATGCCATCTGTAGGCCTATAGTGTAAGAATGACTAATGCATCTCAATGTCTAAATCAAGTAGAAATTCCTCCCCGAGATCGGACATTATGATGAATGATATTTTTATGTTTTGCAAGGTCTAAACAATGGCTGTGCGAAGCCTAGCCGGCGATCGATTGACCCACTTGTGACGTCACGTTTCTTGGCAGATTTATTAATTCCATGACATTTTCTGAAAGGAAAATGTAGATAATTTGGGTTAGTTTAGCCTCCCTTTTGCAATGATACAAAATTATTGAGTTTAGATACAGTTTTAATCCCTAGCACAATTATTTTAATAGCCCATTTGCATACACATAAAGTGAGTGATGTGGGAGAAATGTTTGAGGTACATACCATGAATGCCTCTCTGGAGTGGAAACATGAGTGAGATCCCTAGAGGGAGCCCTATAAGATAATATCCCAAGAAGTCGACTGCTGCCGCCACTGCTTGATGACCTATACCTCGAATCACTCCACCACAAACGGTCTGAAGTCATCAACCAAGAAGCAAAGTTATAAGGAAAAGGAGGAAGAGGAGAAGAGAAAACAAATAGATATGGGGGAGGGGCGGAAGAAAGTGATAAAAAGATAAAAATGAATATGGTCAATCACATGTTTATCTTAATTTTTTGATCATATAAAGTACAACCAAATATGGCATTTTCTCATATAAACTTGTTCACATTGCCCATCATTAAACCGTTGCTATGCAATACCGAATTGACAAAATGTCATTTACATCATACAGCATACCATTAAAGATAAAGCATTTTGTCATCAAAATTAACCTTTCATCAAAGAACGCAAATATCATCAACCTAAAAGATTTGTGTACACTTAACTCTTTCTTATACATGCATTTACTATGTCAAGTACTAATATACCAGTACCATAAATTTGATTTAACTAAATATAGCTTTATGATTGGAACTTCACCCTTGGTTTTACAGAAGGCATTCTGTTCATAGATCTATTCACACTCTCTCTACATCTTTTTGTGAATACGTCTTTTCTTTTGTTGTGATTAAATTATTTAAAAATTCACTTAATTAAATCTCTACCTGATACTTATTTTTTTATTGGGGGAGGGGAAAGGGGAGGGGAAAGGATGAGGGGAAAGGGGGAAGGGAGAGGAGGAGAGGGAAGGAGGAAGGGGGAGGGGTAATCGATTAATCCTTTATACTCACAGCGAGACAATCCATTACTGCAAACATGGCACAAATGGGCAGAATGGAAGAGGCAAGCTTCACCGTCATACTGAAATCAAATCATTAGAATGATTGTATTGATAAACATAATGATCTGGTTGTATTGTGCTCAAACAAAGTGTTGGGGATTTCAAAGGATAAATTCTGCCAAATCTGGGAACTGATAACGCAAATAAATAGGTCAATGAATACCTTCCACTAGGCTTTAAAACTTTAATAAATTATTACTCCTATCAAACCATTCCCCTCAAAATGCTACAGGTTTAGTAGTCCACTCTCTTCAATATGTTATGGCCAAGGCTAAATCAATTAATCTTCTTAAAACCCTGACCATACATCATCACAAAATCATATTGTAACAAGTCCCTAGCCCAAAAAGAAATAAACAGGCCTGTATCTTGTTCTAAAATTCACACATTCTCCTGTTGTGACACACATTTATCTTTTATCTTTTTTTTTGGGGGGGGGGGGGGGGAAGAGGGATTAAAAAAACTTTTCATTGGCTGCAAATATCAAAGACGCCAATTTTCATCACAGGACCTCATTTAGGCCTATCGGGGATCAGATAAAGCTTTGCTTTGCTTTGCTAACCTTCCATAAATATCTTCTTTATTGCTCCCTTAGTGACCTGTTAATCTTCCATGAATTACTATACATGTCAGCTTAATCACCCTCCCCGTTCAGGCTTTTTAAATCTGGGCATGATCTCCAAAACGACTCCCCAGGCGGCCATCTTGACTGTCCCTGGACCATTTATTAAACTAAGATCTTCTGACCCTCAAAGGCTGGGCATTCAGTTTCATTTATTTCTCCTCAAGAGATCAACAGATAAAAATACATATATAAACAGACAAATGTATGACAATACATAAGATCAACTATAAAAGTGAGGAGGGCAGTGGCCAAAAAGGAAACAAACCTTGTAAGAGGCCAACCCTTTAAGAAAACAAGATATACAATATGTAACATAATGATGGTAATCTCTCAACCATATAATCTCTAGTCTCATAGGACTGATTCTTAACTCCACCATACACTATTAGATCTAACTGCAATCTGATTTAGGAGAATATGCAAAGTCATCGGATAAGAATATAAAATCATGTGAAATCCTCCCCACCGAGGTTCCTAATGGATATATTAATAGCAAAATTGACAATGAAAGATAGGTCTTCCAATCAAAGGAAAAACTAAACTACCATAGATTTGGGGACAGTTTTGTAACTGGTCTGATTGGCAGCTAGCTGATTGGGTATTTTTCTCTAGCTGGAAGATCGGCCCACCATTCACCACAATCATGACTTGGGTCTTCACATGGTCATGCAGGCATCCCAATCAGGAAGACTGTACATGTTTAAATCCTTGTATCTAATGATAGACCCTTTCCTTCCCAAACAGATCGAGGTTGGATCGTGTAGATTGTTGTTGTTTTCTTTATCTATAAGTTCACCCAGTCTCACCTGTCTGAAGTAAAGAGGTAGGGAATCACATCCTTCAGTGAAATGTACAAGATGGCCAGGATAACAGCAGCAATCACTGAAAACAAATTATTAAAAAAAATATTTAAAAAAGTTAAAATGTACTTTATTTTTTTTGGGGGGGACTGATTTTAATCATGGACCACTAATAAGAATATGATCTTTTTTTAATTGATCTTGCAAAAGGAAAGAATTTCAAATTTTCTAAATAAAAATCAATTGGGTAATTCCTGTTTCAAATGGCATTAAGATCTAGAGCAGGCCTTCTCAACTGGCGGCGCGCGCGCCACTTGTGGCGCTTGGGGTCAGTCGGAGTGGTGCTTGACTGTTGCAAAAAAAAAAAAAAAAGTATTATATTTTAGAATTATTAAGAACTCAGCATGAACAAGGAGTCACAGGTGAAGTTGAGCCCAACACGTCTGCAGGGAGAAAGGGCAATTGATTGTTTTTTACTATTACGACTCTAAACCTGAACTCTAAACAACAATAAGCGTACGATGTGCTACCAATTTTAACATTGCCGATCTCTGGACACATCATGTTTTTGTTGGTATAATTTGCACTTAATTTAATTTTGACATTTCCCGTGTTTAATCGCACAAAAATAACTACATATAAATTTACCGCCAGTGTAATATTGAACCCAGGAAGTGTACTAATTTTTTCACATCAATATGAAATTATGATTGATATATTTTGGAAGAAATAGGTGTTAATAATGCCACCTCTGGGCTCTCAGAAAGCCCTACATACTACAAGCTTCAAGGGCTGCACCCCCACTGGGGCTTTGCCCGTGGACCGCGTCCATTGTCGGCTTGGTCGCTACGCTATGTCGCAGCACAGTCAAACATACAAATTGGCACTTCAACTACAAGTTCTTTTCGTTGTGGCACTTCTAATAAACTAGTTGAGAAGGCCTGAGCATTAAAGAACCACGAATCACATGATTAGAAATCAAAGTAAACCAAAAACCATTTCAAGTTTATATTCTATATCTAGTGAGGAATGATCCAAATCAAAATATCTAGCTCACCGGTAAGCTGTCGGACTAAAGCTGACATCATGTTAGGAATATCCATAATATTCATAATTATGTATTTTCTTTCTTTCTTTATCTTTAAATCATTAAAGCTAAACAACTCTCAATTGCCCCTAGTGACCTGTGCTAAGTACATGGTGTTGAGCCTACTTACCCGGATTTCCTTATCTTTCTATACTCATTACTCGGCCACTACCGGTATACATCTTCTTCCAAAATTGTTTTAGAAAATGTCATTTATTTGTAATCTTGAACATTCAGTGTAACTTTCATTGGATTCTGTGAGAATTTATTTCATTTACCAGAACTCAAGTTTATCGTCTACATGTAGGTTATAAAACTAATCCTTAATAAAAATTAACTCCATGATTCTAAGAAACGGTTTGTTTACACATATTATTATTGAGGTCAAATACATATAACACTACTACATCACATCAAAACAAAACATGCTGGTATAAATAAAAATCCATCCATGCAGTCAGTCGCATGTTATTAGGGACTTTTTGATTTGCACGTTCACTAGTGGACTGCGATGTATGCGGTCATTTGTGAAGCAGGGTTGACAGGTTTGACTGTAGTACACCTGGTTGCTCTACTCAACACTGATGCCACTTTAGTGCAAAACTAAGCCAAGTTTTATGACAAGTAAATATTTCTACTGAAATCCATATTCTCTCGGTGACAAAAAGTACAGGTGCATGTTTGATCTGCAAATACATAGAAACTAGTTGGAATATCCTCAAATTTCATGCATTTACAGATCAAGATCTGTAACAAAGGGTGAGCTGCAAGTGTGAGTAGAAATAGTTTGTTTTCTCCAACCAGACTTTACTTTGGCTTACGTACCTCCGAGTGATAATGAAGCTACTGATGCCACATGAGCGATGCCAGGTTTCTTGGCTCCAAGGTTGTTCCCAATCCTGATTGCTGCTGCTATGCCAATACCGTACGGGATCTAATCAAACCAACACACAAAAGAAAAAACAAGTTTAAAAACCTCATTTTGGCATTCTACCACACGGAAACTTCATCTGCTTCAGGGCTGGCAAATGGGTGTGGTACCAAGTGGGGTTAAAAGAAAAAATATGCTGCTTGAATCATATTTGGATTAAAACCTCAATGAATCTTGTAAAATACTTCAAATTTTATGAAAAAATTATTGGTACTTTTTCATTTGCCCTTTTTGTACAGCTGTCATTTAGGTAACTACAATTTTTTTTTTTTTAAAGGCTGAAATGTAACAACAATTACATTTCTGCACATATATAGCACTTATTACACTAAATATATTGACAACCTCTCTAACTGTTTTATGTATATAACATAGGTATCATCTTTTTTCTTTTTTTTTGTGGGGGGGGGGGGGGCTACATGTTTAGTGCTCAGCCATGGAGGTACAGACACACACACATATATATAGGTGAGTATCTAGAGCAGAAATGTTGGAAGCAGGCTGGCCTTGTTGCTGTGTTTACAAGCATGGTGACCTTGCTATGTAAGCTGTGTGTTAGGTTTAACAGCCACTTAGACTTTATAGCCATCGTTCCTTCATTTGTTCCTGGATTAACTCTTTGTGCGTTTACCCATAAACCCCATGTGCACTCTTTTCTTTGTAAGAAAGTATCTCTAATTTCAGAAGGCTATAACTTTTTACTTGGAACATTTTGAAGATAAATGTTGTGTAGTAAATTTGTAGAAATTTTTAATTAGTTTTTCTATCATATCAATCTCATTTAGTATATTAATGTTCTTTGCCTGTATGATACTTTTTTATTAACATGTATTTTCGGTATGTAAATATATGTTCACTTCTGTCCTTTTCAAATAAACTTTGGCACTCTATTTTGTCCTACGTTAGTGACAAGTGTTTTATATTGACATATGATTCAATAAGCTTTCCAGGGATACCCAAAGCAAAATATTCCAACCAGAAGAAAAGCCTAAATAACACAAAGCAAAGGGAGGGGATTAAGGGAAGGTCTCAGAGCTTTGGACACTGAGCATTCTTTCAAAAAGGTGCTAGAATAATCAGAGACACAACAATATAAAACTTGATCGGACTTCTTGAGTATGCTGTCCCATGATCATGCATTGTCTTTTTGCAATTGTTCGTTTCCAAGATGATACAATGGGTTTCTTGTTACACTGATTTTGAAAGTGAATATACTGAACCTGCCCTACATTAATCTAGGTCAATATACTGATGCTCCATGTTCATATTGAAAGCTTTGTGAAGTGAATGTATGTATCAGTATGTACCTGTAAAAGTGACTTTAAAACAGAAACATGTCCCATGATTTCTGTGTCTATGGCTACTCTCCGTCACCCTTAGTAACGAGTTTGTGAACCATTTCAATAGAGAATATTCACCGTGCCATGATTCAAATACAAAATAAATGCAAAGAAAACCACCAAATTACTCCGAAATATCCCAAGACAAGCTATACTATGAAGTCACATTTGCGAATGGTGAATGTATGAATGTATGAAACACAAACAACGCATACTAGGGCCAATGCGAATGTGCAAGTGTACATAACTTGTGTATGAATAGCACGTAGTATGACTTGTGCACAGATGCGAACGAAACGCAGGGCTGACGGTGCACTGGTGCAAAAATAACGCGTAAAGAGTTTGAGGATTACAGGATTTGGAAGGTGCCTAATCTTTCTATGTTTGCACATTAAACCAAAACTTCAAAGAAGTAGATGTGCTTTGCATTGTACCCAGTTTCATGAATAGACTATTTTGAAAACACTTTTGATAATCCATATGAAGTTGATGCTAGATATCTATATGTATATAAAAAGTCTCTTGGATATATATATATATTCCAATTTTGTGATGATGTTTGCTAATAACTTCACATCTTAAATTCTATTTCATAACTCCATAATCTCCTGAAGTTGCGAAAACCTTGTAAACTTGCAATTTTAATAAAGTTGTGGATTCAATAATCGGCTGTGTTGTGTACTTATATTGTTCTCGGTCCCTTCATTACTCTTTTCTTTTGGATCAACATGAGAAACATTAACAGTTGGGGAGAGGTTTTACATTTAGTTTTCTTTCTAGTTTGATATCCAAAATCAGACACACTGTTGTGTTTCTTAATTCAAGAGTAACTCTATCACAGAAATAATATTACTAATATCTTCATATCGAGGGGTCTGTGGCACAAAGATGTAACTCCAGTTTGGCCATTTTGAGAAAAAGTGGTTTAGGTGTCACTGAGCACTTGGGCCGGAGTTAAGTCTATGTTTCACTAGCCATTGACTTCAATGGAGTGTTGGGTGGAGTTAAGTCTTTGTGTTTCCTGGAAAGCTCACAATTTTCTGAACATTTTAAAAATCAAATACTCATTTTGGCAAAATATGGAGTTATGTCTTTGTGTCATATATATATATATATATATATATATAGATATATATCTCACCATTTCTCCTGTGGTAGCTGTATACATAATAATAGCATGAGCTCCGATTGATTCCTCACCGAGAAGCCCTGGACATAGATCAAAATACAAGGGTTAGTAAGAGAACTCAATAAATACCAAATCTACCGTAAGTGAAATCAAATACATTATGAGAATTACAATCAATACTTATATGAGTAGAACGGATATATATACAATACCTATAGTGTATTGAGAGAGAAAGATGTGAACCTTAAAAGGGTACACATACAGTACTGTCATCAAAGTACGTGATCAAAAGTGCTTCGATCACCGCCTAAGAAATCACTGAGAAATCTTTAAAACAAAACAACAGCCAAAACATCTGCATGATATGCAAGGTCATGTTTAATATGCCGTGACAGAGGAGCAACTTCTTCAAATCACATGCTTCCTTAAATTACAATTAATGTGTCTTGACAGGAACGAGGTCATCACAAAGAATGAAGTCTTTAAACAAATTATCTTCGTAAAAATGTTGAATCATTCACAGTTGTGTCATTCCTATTATAATGCAATTTAGCCACAGTATTCTAGAGTTCTCTGACCCTAATGGTGGGGTTGGTATTATGTCAAACTTTCACCATTCTCTTTCTCTTCTTTTGCTACAATCGTACAAATGAACTTATTTACAAAGCTTGGATTGCCCTTTAAGAATTTAATTAGTGTAGGATATTGGGCACATGCAGACTGGAGATTGAATGTGTGGTAGCACAGGTCTGAAGACCACTGAACTAACCCGCTAGATAGAAGCCTACATGATTGAATGTGTGGTAGCACAGGTCTGAAGACCACTGAACTAACCTGCTAGATAGAAGCCTACATCAAAGCTCCACCATTCCAGACAAACCATCATACATCCTGCCATACCAAGCTTGAAGATTGGCATCCAATCATCCAAGCAGTCCTTACTCCATCCTGAAACAGCAATTTTAAAAAAAACTTTCAAAAGCTTTGTGAGACATAAAACAGACTTAGCGGTAATGCTTGTTCAGACATGGGGCGGTAAACTAACATGCTTTTTGATGAATGAATGGCAACTGTGCGCAGCAAAGGACTGGCATGTATTCACTGAGCTCGGTGTTATATGATACAGCAAAGTGAAGTGTATTACCAATATACTTTACTTCATCATAAAAACTGCTGCGGTTTTGCCACGTCGTATCTGTACAACCCTTTAGAGATATCATACATAGGATGATACATACATTTATAATGTCTCTGAAAGACAAACTTAAAGCCCAACTAAACTACTTATTTCTACTTGAGCCATCTATATAGCAATGCCTAATTGGTGCCTGTTGGTTGCCTATGATCCCCTTTGTCTTATGTTAATTGAGAGCTTATTTGATGTGATAACCACCTGTCAGTGACCTTGCAGGGAGGTCGAATCCCCCTGGCCAAACTAGTGCAGATGAGCTTATACTGGATATGGTCATTTCTGTCTCTCTACCCCTTTATCTTACTCTTCAATCAGGCATTACCTGTCCATGTTCCTTTGTATAGTTTCTTCCGCAGTATGTAGCCTGTGACGAGTGCAGTTAGGATGTAATGAGATAACACCTGAGCTATAGCTGTTCCGCTGTTTTTAGGAATAACAAAATAACAAGGAAGAATTAATATCATAATCATTATTACTACAGGAATATATTTTGGGTAGTTCTTATTTTCAACTATGCATTAGCAGCACAAACGTACCATGCTTTAGTATTATCAATTACCTTGCTTTTTTTTGTAGTCAGGAACGTGCTTAAAGAATCTCTGTGACTCATGTACCAAGTATTTATTAACTACAGGAGTTAGGGTGGCAAATGTTCATATGGATTAAAGGTACAATTTCTAACTTACATGTGAAAATGAAAGAATCTAAATTGAGAGAACCCTGATAATCAGTTTGTTTGACAAATTAAATTGACACACTAAATTGATTCTGCATCATAACAAAAAATTAACTACCGTAATTAACATTGTATAAACCGCCCTTGTGTATTAACCGCACCCCTCTTTTTTTCCCTTAAAAAAAAAAAACTTTGTCGGCAGCGAGCCAGCTAGGTCCGTGTTATAAAAACCCACGCGGGAAGGGCTTTCATTTAACTGCGAGGTGCAGCTGAATGTGTAAGATCATTAATGTAAATTAAAAAACAGTAGAGGACCTAGGATAGAACCTTGTGGTACACCATGTGTAGGAATTATTATTATAAACTACATATTGAGATCTATCAGAGAAATTACTTTCAAACCAAGATGACAGACAAATTTGAGTGTTGTTCTAGTTTCCTAGTGGTGAGTCAACACACTGATTACTGAGCTGGGAGACATTGCCAGGCATAGCGCCAGATGGAGGGGCATAAATCGAAACTTACCGTGTATGAACCGCACCCCCCGACTTTGAAATTTTTTTGCCGGCAAAAAGGTGCTGTTTATACACCGTTAATTACGGTAATCTATCTTCTTAATATCTTGCAACAGGACAAGAGAGCTGCAGCAGGGATTTGAACACAGCCCTGCCAATTTGATAATACATTTTCTAACGTCAGACCCAAGGATTAATATACAAACTAAAGGTAATTATGTTTTTTGTCTTTAGTACACTCACACTAATCTGAGATCGAGGACATAAATAAAGAGGTAGTAGAGACAAGCCGCTATGACGTTTGTGATTAACGTTGTTATGACGACAGGCTTGAGACAGCTCTGACACTGTAGATATTTGATGAGTAACATTGAAAAGTAGTCTCCCTGAAATGAGAAATATACGGAAATCCGGGGTAATTATCCAATTACATCAATAATTTTTTGAAGGGCATTTTAGGGCAATGATGTGGTTTTAAAAATCACTATCTCATTACTTCCTCCCCCCCCCCTCTCTCTCTCTATCTCAAACAAACACACACACACACACACACACACTGTCTTTTTTCTTTCTTTCTTTCTAACTAAAATATATTGGTGGAATATTTGAGTGTATGGTGTTACATTAACTCCAATTTGCAAACGGCTAATACCAGTATGCATGGGTGAATTAGGAAATCAATGTTCCCCACAGATATTATTGTGAGGAATGGTCCATTAGATTGGTAAAATAACTGGAGTAAAAGAATCAAACTGGCTATTATATTCAACTGTGCATATTACCATTTTCCAAATTTTCCATTTTGTACCCTTTCTAATAATGAAGAATTGTGTACATGTAGTAAGAGTGAAAGAGTTTTAAAGCTTACGAGAATATTATCTAGATGTCACTGAACTCGATCTTAAAAACATGAACTTATTGGTGCTTGCATGCAACCACTAAGGATTAGTCAGCTTGGAATTACATGGGATCAAATGGATTTATGCCTATTGTTACATGAAACGAAACTAAGTGGATGGTTAACAGTGCATAAACAGGTATAGATCTATTCTTATATATTGTACAAAGGAAGGTTTCAAGGTAAGCATAGTATTGAGCTAGCTTGTTCATCATTTAGAACTAATAAATTCAAAAATAGCTTTGCTGCTAGTACTTGAGCTTCAAATAGAACTGATAATGCTCAAAGCTGGTCGCCTTTATAAACACAGTGCATACATGTACATACAACTAAATGTTGGTGTCTATTTGTGTGCATGATGATGACAACCTCATGCATTACTTACAGAAGTAGGAAATACCCATCACATAAATCATGTTTTAATCCTTCCTCAGGGAAGCCAGGGACAATCTACAGCTGACGAGTCACATACAGAACTATTCTTTTCTATTCATGACATCTTAGTATTCTTGTATTACTTGGTCGTATAGGTGAGCTCATTCACCCCTAAGAGACATGATTAATGTACTTTGCATTGCTGGGTTGTGAATGTTTTGTCAGCAATGTAACATGGATTGTCTTGAGAGTTCTTGGGAGAAGTCCTCAAAAGTATGCTCTAGATCAAGTTCACAACAAAATTTGAACGTTTGATGGTTTGATGATATCAGGCTGCCAGAGCTTGGCCTAAAAACATCCCCCCCCCCCCCAAAAAAAAAAAACAAGTCTTGATTTTAGCAGCTTCTAACATTTAAAATTCAATCGATCATGAGGCTTTGTCAAATAGAGGAAAAACAAGTTTACAGCAACTTAATTATGTAAAAAAGATCAGACAAGGCTTATTGATTTTAAACAAGTACTGCCATGATTTAGACCACACTATCTAACTGCAATGTGAATGTAGCCAATTAATTATGCTTCAGGTTACAGCCTAGTAGTGTGGAGCCTGTGGACAGAGTCTGTGCGATTAAACAAATTTTTTTTTGAGTCTATGCCATCTTACATTTAAAACAAAATCACAACTGATTCCTAGTTCAGAGAAACAGAGTATCCATCCCATCCAATGGCTTACCATTCAAAAAGGCTACACAAAGCAGGGCCTGAACAATAATTTTTTCTGATACATACCGGTATATTACACCATTTCAATTTGTTTAAAGCCCCACTCTCCTACTTGTAGCTATTTGCTCCCTCTATATAGAAAACTTCCCCAATCGGTGCCTGTTGGTCCCCCATGATCCTCTTATTCTTATGTAAGTTGAGAGCTCAGTTAATAAGATAGCCACCTGTCAGTGACCTCGCTGTGTGGTCTAATCCCTTCTGGCCCAGTAGTATTGACGGTCTTTAAATTGTTGTTGTTGATATCTTGATATCTCATAATTCTTTTAACTGTCATAATAGTATGATAAAACTAGGAATATATAATCCTCTCTTTCACCATGATTTATGCATTTTGTAATGATAATGTTAACCTTCAAATTGCAGAGGTATACAACACAATTGGACAGTTTTATTTACTTTTGACCAGACTTGAGATGAATAGAGTTTTTTTTCTTCAAATACCAGTAATGAAATAAAGAGAAGTCTGGAGGACATACAAGATTCAACTCCTAAATGAGAGCCCTTCTTTAATCCATTATGTTTAAAATAGCATTTATAATTTGCCAAGGGCAGATTGCCCCGTAGAGCTATTTGGCAACTAGGTGTGAATAATCACAAGGAATAAAGACAAATATTATGAAATGAAATCAAAGGGCAACCATAAGGGTAGAGGATAATAGAGGAGAACTCAGAAAACTCTGCATGAAAAAAGTAATATGTAATCTCCCTTGTAACTGCAAACATTATCATTCTCGATCTAAAAGCATATACATTTTTTCAGTGGCAAAGAACTAAAGCAAGTTAACAAAACATGTCATTGCATCCATAACTATTCTTTGATGTGGGTATAATATCAACCGCTAAACTACAAATTTAAGTTACATGGCTGGAAAGTTACCTTTCAAAAGAGTAGGGCCTTATAATTAATATTTGGAATTAATATTGGAAAACAAAAGCAAACTTGTCAGGCATGAATTATGCGGGTATGAAAAAAACTAAATACACAGCATGAACTCTTGCATTTAGCAAGATATGGTGCAAGGCAAATAATTATCAGGATTAGATATACTTAGGCCTACTCCTATGGAGATGGTTTAATTACATTTTATCATGAACTTACAATGGGTTACATTGCCAGTTATCACAGTGCTATTTTTCAATAAGTTAAATTAGAATATTCAATATGTTAGAATAATTGTAAATGTAATTCTTCAGGATCATTTAAGAATAATGATAATTTAGAGAAGCAAGATGTTTATACTTACAGGCACTGCAGGAATATAGATGAGGCAGTATATACCAGTCAACCTGAACAACAGTAAAAGTTTGGTAAAGAAGAGATGCAATATTGATAAGTTCTAAAAAGGGTTATGATATAATAAGAATGTAACTTCCTTGTTCAAAAGAATGTACATAAAGTCAAAAGCACGCAATTTTAACTTCAATGCTAACTGATAGACAGGTAGAGTTAAAAAGTCACAAGATAACCTTGATTAATATACTGTAAAAGTAGTAACATTCATGGTACATTAATTTTCGCAGATTTTGCGCTAAGATCGGCAAGCGCTTATTTTAGAACTTGCGAAAATATAAGCACAACTTCTTACGCATGTTTTGAACGGGCTGAATTGTGTGAAGTGCGAATTTAAGAGCCAGTAAACATGTTTTGGGGTTGCTTGGCACGAAAATGACAGTGTTTACAGTATATGGCTTTACATCTCTAGTGAACCTAGAATCTTGCTTTGGTTTCTTTCTAATTCTGGACAAATAATGTTTGATATCTTGTGATTTCTCAACTTGAGTCAAGCACAGTACAGATTCATGTCTGGCAGTGAACTACAATAATATATATTTTTTCTTCATCTTTAATCAATATTCTGCTAAAAGGTAAACACTGGCATTAACCCAAAGTCCCAAACCCAGCGTGTACACATTTATTACAATGAATAGTTTGACAAACAAAGTTCATGAATAGCAACCATTGAAACCATTGAAATGAATTCCTACATCACTATTAGACATTTTTAGCAGAAATCTCAAGATGCATACTGAAATTGGAAGTTCAATTTTGATTTTCATCACTCTATCCATCAACCTACTTGACATGAAACTCAATATCTGAATAAAAAAGGCTTTGATTTTCTTTTAATAGTAGTCAGCTAATAAACAGTCACAATGAAACTCAATCAGAACTGCAGGGTAGCAACTTTCTGTGCTGAAGATTTACATACACTGCAAGGAAGGACTTTTTTTTTTAAACTTGAAATATTTATACAGAGAGAAGAATTTACCAGATAATGAACAGGAAAGAAATTAGGCCTAAACTTGAAGTAGAAGAAGTACACAAGGACAAATTTGGAGAATCAACTTTTTCTGCAAAAGACAAATATAGAAGAACACACCTGAATGTATACTTCTCTTACTCTGCTTCAGATTATTTGTTTAAACTGTGATGTGCATAATAGTGTGATGTTACAGTGAATGTCTAAAGTTTGAGCGGCTTTTCAAAAAATGAAATGTGGGTCAAGCAATTAAAATATCACCCCACCCCTATACAAATTTAAGTTCGTCGCGAACTCGTATTATGCTCGTGGTAAGCTTAATAAGATCGTTTTTTAGGCTTTAAGCTCGTAACACGCTCCCAGGACGCTTGTAACGATCTTACAAAATCTTGGCGAGCTCGTGCACGAGTTCGCCACGAGCTCGTGGCGAACTCGCGGGTAAACTGGGGAGCTCGTGGCGAGCTCGTGGATAAAAGAGGGAGCTTGTGGCGAGCTCGTTGGTAAAAGGGGGAGCTCGTGGCGAGCTCGTGGGTAAAAGGGGGAGCTCGTGGCGAGCTCGGGCGTAAACTGGGGAGCTCGTGGGCGAGCTCGGGGGTAAACTGGGGAGCTTGTGGCGAGCTCGTGGGTAAAAGGGGGAGTTCGTGGCGAGCTCGGGGTTAAACTGGGGAGCTCGTGGCGAGCTCGGGGGTAAACTCGGGAGCTCGTGGGTAAAAGGGGGAGCTCGTGGCGAGCTCGTGGGTAAAAGGGGGAGTTCGTGGCGAGCTCGGGTTAAACTGAGGAGCTCGTGGCGAGCTCCCCAGAGCTCCCCACGATCTCGCTGGTAAACAGGTGATCCAGCTCCCAGGAAAACAGTTAGGTATACAGTGTGAGTCCCAAAAAAATTTACACCTAGAAAATTGCTAATTATTTTAAAAATTATCTGTGAACAGTAAATTATTATACATTCTATGAAAGAGTGTTTTATCTTGAATCATTTAGTATCATTTTTGTGTGGTATGTTTGGATGAACAGGAGGCATTGTATGCAAGAGTGCAAAAATCGACTTGCGCCAAAGTTGCTAATGTGATGTTTGAATAAAACAATTGCGATATGGGTATTATAATCATGCCACACATATCAAAAATTGAATATAAAATATCAACGAACATTGTTAGTGTGTTTGCTTGTGACTTTGCTTCTGCAAAAAACATATGCAATGCATTTCATTTGATACATTCAATTCATTCTCTCACTCCGCTGATCCCAACATAATACATACTGTAGGCATCACTTTGGCGCAAGTCAATTTTTGCACTTTCACAAACAATGCCTCCTGTTCATCCAAGCGTGAACACATACCACACAAAAGTGATACCAAACGATTTGGAATAAAACACTCTTTCATAAGATGTATAATAATTTGCTGTTCATAGATGCATGATTTTTAGAATAATTAGCATTTTTCTAGTTGTAAACTTTTTTTTGACTCACACGGTATACATGTATATGTATTTTAAAGTTCCCTTCAGGATGCCAATTTCTTTTATTTATTCTATTAATATATGTACATGTATTTTTAAAATGTCTTGGGCCAAGGAAAATGAGTTCCTACTTCCTAGTTTCTTGTCTCCACCAGCATCCTTTTTATGTAATTTTTTTTTAAATAAAAAATATTGATCTGAAGATATCTCTTACCTGAAATAATTAAGGTAAACAAATGCATACTTTATTATTTTGATACATTTTTGAGCCTCTTTGTCAGAACATAAATTGTATATGCAATTACATTGAAAGTTCAGAAAATTTGTGTTGAAATTGAAACAATAGCTTTTTCATGCTGAAGTAACCTGTCAAATTACTTGTAAATTTAATTAAATTCTTTTGAAACTTTGAAACATTTATTTGCAGCATACCAGATTGGGAAGGGGGGGGGTTGCCATTTATTCTGACTGTATCATATATTTAACACCTTGAAATGTCACTATCAGGTATTACATAAGAGCACACACCCAGACCTTGATTCGAGGTCAACTCCCTGTTTCTAACTTGCTCTCTCCTTATGTACATAGGATTCCCCACTGCTAAGACACAAATCTCTATTACTCTCTTCTCCCCACTCTCACTTTCTTGTTTACTCTCTCTTGTGGAATTACCACTGGTAGCATTCCTGATAAGAATGAATTGATGTGTTAGTTATAGGCCACTTTGGGCAAGTCTTTCTCCATCTTGCTTTTGTAGAGAGCAGACATGGGTTTTGAATGGTATTGCAGCTCCTTTGTTTTAGGTAAGAGAAAAACTAATTCCTCACACCTTATAACTAAATGTTCTACTTGTGTATTTATAGGCCAACAGTTAGGCCTACCTCTCTTATACATTTATGAAAGAGAAGTGTAGAGTAATGATTAATGAGATAAAGTATTTATTCTCTTTCTAGTGAGATATCTTTTCATATATTGGGAAGTTTGTTTCTCTATCTATATAGCACATAGTATATTCACTTCATTAAAGTAACATTAGATATAATCTATGTGATAAGGTTATATTCATGTAAATATTCCTGTATCTTGACTGACAAACCCTATCATTTAGGCAACATGAGAGCACATTAATGCATTTTGTCTGAATACTGAAAACTAGTTTGCTAGTGGATATAGAGAAGGGATTGTTCTAGAGATCCTATAGTATATGTACATGTATCATTACTTGGTACCCTGGGTTGGTGAATACACTGACAAGAAGGGGGATGCTATATAGTTATTGTATGAATACCGCTTTATTAGTTTGGATCTTTGTAATATTATGAGTGATTAGAATGATGGAATAATTACCAAAATGGATAATAATATTTCTTCAAAGGCAGAGTATTATACAGTGAATTACTCACATATTTAATTTCATTATACAGTGTAATTATATAATTTGGAAATCATTTATTCATTCATATCGTTGTGTGAAGTTGTGAACCCTGCATACAGGTAACATGTATTTTACAGGGTTTGTATTGACTCTAATAAAAAGATACTTGTTTTAAGTTATATTTTATGTTATATCTTTTCTTTCTGTACTTTGATATATTAGTGTTTTCATTGATTGATATCCCAGAAGTAATGAACTTTTAACTTTCCCTTATTCTAAAGAGGATCACTGTATTCTTCACCAGCTTGCCAACTGAATTGTCCCTGCACAGCCAGCCTGCAGATGTTAACTGGATATTGGAAGGTTGATAAGTTAGATAAATATATATGCATGCCAATAGCTCAACAGGATCATCAAGTTCACCTCTATATGTAGACACAAATTAGTTCTCAATAGGGACTTTTAGATTTGCACGAAGACAATGTGGATTGCTACGGTCGACGTCCTTTTTATGCACTGCCTTCAATGGACGTCACAGGTTTCAGTCCACGCAAATCTAAAAGTCCCTAATGCCAACATGCTGTTGAGCACGCCATTAAGCTCGCAGCCATTTTTTTTCCACAAGATTGTCGACGAACTCGTACGAACTCGTTGACGAACTCGTTGACGAACTCGTACGAACTCGTTGACGAGCTTGTCGACGAACTCGTACGAACTCGTACGAACTCGCCAACGAGCACGCCAACGAGCTCGCCAACGAGCTTATCGGCCAGTGACGAGCTGCATATTTGGAGCACGCCAACGAGCTCGCGTGCATGCTCGTAGCTAATTTGCATATTTGGAACGAAACGAGTTCGTCTGCGAGTTCGTCTGCGAGTTCGTCGACGAACTCGTGGGCGAGCACGCTGACGAGCTCGCGTGTTAGCGTACTGAAATTTGTATAGGGGCACCAAGATGTGAAGGATGTAGACACACCAGTGTACAAACAGCAATGCAACCCTCTATTAAGCACACATGAGTTCAACTACAGGTGATCGAGCTTAACATAATTTAAACTAAATTTCTGAAATTACATATCTATTTAATTAATTCAAATTGTCTTTGATGCTCAAAGTAAGAACAGGGATGCCAATAAGAATTGGTCAGAGGGCCTGAAAATCACCTGATTGAGCTATTTTGTGCACAAAAAAAGCCTAACCTATGGTTTGAAAATAACTTGCCAGGACCTGAATTCAGGCTATATTGCATGAAAGCTGACATCCCTGTATAAGTGTAAGAAGTTCTTGCCCCTGAAACAAAATTTGATAGAATATATGGTCATCCCCTATTTTTTCTTTTCCATTACCCATACTCCACTTTACATATAAGTGTCACATGCAAGGCAAAGCACACAAGACATGCTTACATTTCAGGAATCTTATTCCAATTGAATACCTGCATGCACACAGGATATGACATTACACAGCGGGGTATAGCAAACTTGCAGGTACTTTCATTCTTGTAATTTCAAAAAGGATCGTCTCTTTGATATTTAAATGAACAGAGAAGTAACCTTGGTGGAATATGGTAAGAAGGTATAATTCAGGTGTAAACAACAACCTTTGAAAACAAATCCATTGAAATGCTAATTCTAAGAAATGTCTAGACACTGGCTCCTAGCTTACACCACAACGTTTGTTTGCCACCATTAATGGATTTGAGAGGCATAGAAGTATTTCCTTGGTATTTAAATACCTCTCTGATGATTTTTTTTTTAAATGCCTTTTGTCACATGAGGTTTTATGGATATAGACCTATGAGCATTTGCTGTAAAAAGTGTCATTAGGAAATCTTAAGAAATGCAAACATCCCAATTAAAGCAATATTCCATGAAATATGTGATATCAAATCATCTAATCAATTTGTTATCCACAACCTTGCAGAATCATTCTAAGATAGTATCATGATAAGTTAATTGATAGATGGACCACATCTTGCAGTGCGGCGGAACAGGTTGCACAGATGAAGACCTGGCCCTTGTTAATGAAGCGGCCATTGCAGCAATCGGGCGATGGAAGAACTTAATTTAATTTAATTTACTTTTAATTAAGGAACTTTACATATTAACTATCTTGATCTAAGGAGACACGAATGAACGAATTGATAGATAAAGTCACTAGATAGTATCAAGAGATTCACTCCATTTATTTATGTGTTCCTTGGTCTGCCATGGGAATCGTTTCGGTTTCCTTGATCAGTGTTGTGATCCAAATATGTGACATCAAATCAACCGATCAATATGTTACCTAGCATGCAACCCTGCAGACTCATTTCTCATTATAGAATAGTATCTTGATAAGTTTGATTGATAGATAAAGTCACTAGATAAAAGCAAGAGATTTACCCCATTGATTCATGAATATTGCATTCTTTCTGCATGTTTTGTTCTCTGGTCTGCCATGGATATTGTTTCGGTTTCCTTGATCAGTCGTGCGATCGACTTGGAACAGTGCTACATGAATTAGCCTCAGTATGTCTGTTCTCAAGGCTTTTCTACAAGTTCTTATAAAAATTGCACGCCTAATTTGTGACTTAATGTTAACAAAGTGATCAGTCAACCTGAATACAGAAGTTATAAGTCATTCAAAGATTCAGCTTTTTGAACAGTCATTTTAACACTTGGTGTATACATCACATTAAAGATCAGTCAGACAGAATTGTTGGCTTCTTTTATAAGCAAAGGCTATGCTATAAAGGTTGGTTGGTGTGAGCTAACGGTACCCTACACATTTTTTCCTCCAAGTGCAAATTGTGTAGACATATTGCTTGTCAATATCATTAACTTGAAATTGAGAAACATTTTCTATGTTGTTGTTTTTCTACAATGATGAGTTTTTTCTAAACCCATCAGTGAATTACATAATCCAATCAAGTTTTTTCAACTATTTTGAAATATAAGGAATGTTCTTTGCTCTATGAAATCATCAAAACCTTTCAGAAAAATTGTCCAAACACCACCCCCCCCCCTCCCTCTTCTTCTTACCCTGGAATCAAACATAGCTAGGCTTACCTGGCTACCTCACTACTCTGATGAGCCAGTAGTAAGATAGTTTCAGCATTGATGAGGATACCCCAGCAGACAAAGCACAGTAATGCCATGATCAAGATACCTCGCTGTAAGATCACCCCTATGTGTCTCTTCTTAGGACTCCCATAAAACTGTAAAGAAAAATCATTGATAAAACTGTTTATAAAGAGATGAATGTCAATGCTTCGCTCACTGGGGAGGGGTGGGTATTCAGATTTGGTCTGGATGGGGATGTGCCTCTCAAGCCTTGAAACCTCTACCCTTTTTTAAGGGCCATTAATTTTGGAGGGATTTTTTTCTCGAAATAAAGGCCCATTTTCCCAATTTTCAGGTGTTTGCCATGGAATTTTTTTTAAATTTTGAAAAAAATACCCATGTTTAGGGATATTTTTGTAAAAAATGGGACCCATGTTTAGGGAATTTTTGTGAAAAAGTGACCCATTAGAGCGGCACACCCTGTATGTCTTAAAATGTGAGTACCCCCCCCCCCCCCCTGGTTAAACATGTAGATATCAACTACTGTACATGTATGTAGGATTCACATAACATTGATAAACCAATGTGAAAAATGTTACTCCGCCCCATATGATATGTGGGACAAACTGCATCACAAATTAACAGTAGAACCAACATTAGTACATTGTTTTATATGTAAAGGTATATAAGTTATACAAACTCATGTCACTTGTAGTATCCAAAATAAAGACATGTTTAAAAATTTGTCTCATTCTATATGTAATTCCATTTATTTTCCTCATTTCAATTTAGTTCATTTAGTTTTCAGTCAAGATCATTTCGTTTTCAATTTCATTAATTCAATTCTCATTTCATATAATTTGATTTTGATTTTCAACTCATTTGATTGAATGAAACACTGATCATGAGGATCAGAGCAAATCAAAATATTACTTAGCATATATAGTCTTCAAAAGGAATGATTCCTCAGAGTTGTTTTCATCTTTTCATCTGATCTACCAGATGTTGGAACATCTCCCTATGATGGGAACACATTTGACCTATCAACTATTGACATATCTTGAAAAGATCTACTACCCTGGGGTTACCAGCAAAGATTTATAATATCACTCAGGTCTACCATACTTTCTTAAATACGTTCATAACCAATATAGTACAATGATACATTAATCTTTGAAGAGGATAAATCTTTGAGAGGGTAGACAAGGCCAGTCTGTGAAGTTCAGCAAGAGCTGCATTGACTGCAACCATCAAGCATTGATTTTTCTCACATTCTGGTGTTTTGCACAACGAAAAATCAAAATTGAAAAACCACCTCTGGAGTGTGCTTTTTTTTAGACACCTGCCAAAGTTATTTCACAGATTTTTTGCATTGAAAAAGCAAAGTTTGGTAAGAAACATATTTTTGCTCACGTGACTCTCCTCCCTTTTGTGCTAACGCATGCAGGGCACCGACAAGCCGCGCTACTTGCCAAAAATTGATATGAGCAAACTTAATTGTAGACCAAAAAATCTTCTTTTTTTTTTAAATGGTGTTAGAGATGGATAACCAATTGAAAATATTTTTCTTTTACATGCTTGCTAAAAACCTGTTTTGTCAGTGAATCCCATGAGAATAAAACATTATAAATATTTGTAACTAGGCCCATTTATACAGCCCAAAAACCATTTTGAAAAACCACAGATGTTGTTTTTTTTGTGGAAAAACCATAGGAATTAATTAAACCATTGGTGTTAAAATGTTTTTTTGTTTATATGCCCACTTGTCACTGCCCTGCATGTTGATTTAGCGAATACTGTAACCGAAAGCCGGAATGATTACCGGTAAGTTCCTGCCAGGATTTTTAAAAAAACCACACTCCAGAGGTTATATAGTTTTTCTATATGGGGTTTAATTATTTGTTGTGTTTATTGGTAATTACACATCAACTTCCGACGAAACACTGAAATGTGAGAAAACCAGTGGTTTTCCCTTGCAGTGTAAAAGCAGCAATTCTGTAAATTCTCTTTGTATACTATGGTGAATGGATGGCTTAAATTGGCTGTGCTTTTGGTATACATGTACTGTACACATTTTTATGGCCTAAATTCTGGTATTTGTGTATGAGCCAGAGAATTAAAGTAAAGAAACTAAGGCAATGCAATTATTTTCCTATCTTATATGTAAATTGAAGTGAACTTGAAAGTTTTGAAAGATTGATTTGATCACTTCATATGATGTTGATCTGTTAATAAAAGGCAGCTAGATACACACAAAGTGTAAAACAACACAAAGACATCACAAAGTTATATGGTTAGTTGGAGACTTCTGATACTTATGAAAAATAGATTTCAGTGACACTGTACGTCCAAGTGTAAAAGGGGGTGGGGTTGAGGTTAATCTAAAGAACTAAGCCTGTAAACATATTTCATCTATAAAACATCAATGCTACTACCCACACATGTATGGAAATGACACATAATCAATGATAATGATATGAACAGATGGAAACCGGAAGAAATTTTTTAATTTCTTTTCTAAAGTCCAATACACCTCTTCACTGATATCATATTTGTTTCTTCAAAACCACATATCCATCCTGAACAATCAATGTTCTCCGTAATACATGCATGTCATTCATCCATTCTGTGGTTTCAAGTTTATATAGATATTTCAGAGGATGCGCTATTTTCCCACAAGATTCCACATATTTGTTTATATTCTGCCATTTCTAAGCCATGTAACCATACCGCAATAACGGTTAAAGGTAAAGACCAGTTTTGGAAACGCCCCCCTCTCAAAAAATGAAATGGAATTGGAAGCTCTTATTACCAATCTTGTGAAAGAATATGTTTTGTATGGTGGCCCTGAAGGGACATCGCGAATAGACTAAATCGTGAAAAATATGCGATAAAATTCACGATATCGTCAATTTTATCGCATATTTTTCACGAAGAAATTCACGAAATTGACGATATCGTGAACTTTATCGTGAACTTTTCACGATGAAATTGACGATATCGTGAATTTTATCGTGAAAAGTTCACGATATAAAGTTCACGATATCGTCAATTTTATCGTGTACTCTATCGTGTACTCTATCGTGTACTCTCCTGACGGGCGCTTCGTAAACAAAACCAGCCCTAGCTGGGGGAGACAGAGAGAAGGAAAAAAGGGAAAGGGAAAGAGAAGATAAAAGGAAAGAAAGAATAATAAGAAGAAAAGAGGGAAACGGGGGGGGGGGGGCGAAGGGCTCTTGCCTCCTCCTCACTCCCCCGCCCCCTCCCCGCCAAAAAAATAAATAAGGAGAGAGAGAAGGGAAAGGGAAAGGGAAAGAAAATTTAAAAGGAAAGAAAGAAGAGGAAAAAGGAAAGAGAGGAACGGGGGAAGGGCGAAAGGCTCTTACCTCCCCCCCCCCCCCCCCGCCAAAAAAATAAATAAGAGAGAGAGAGAGAGAGAGAAGGGAAAGGGAAAGAAAGAAGAGGAATAAGAGGGAAACAGGGGAAGGGCGAAGGGATCTTGCCTCCCCCTCCCCCCTCCCGCCATAAAGGGAAAGAGAAGGGAGAGGGAAAGAAAATATAAAAGGAAAGAAAGAAGAGGAAAAAGAATAAGAAAAGAGGGAAACAGGGGCGAAGGGCTCTTGCCTCCTTTCTTTTCTTTCTTTTCCTTTCTTTCCTATTCTCCCTCTTTTTCGTTTTTCTCTTTCTTTCTTCTCTTTCCCTTTCCTTCTCTCTCTTTCTCTTATTTATTTTTTGGCGGGGGTGGGGGGGCGGGGGAACGAGGCAAAAGCCCTTTGCCCCCGTTTCCCTCTTTTCTTCTTCTTCCTCTTCTTTCTTTCCTTTTATCTTCTCTTTCCCTTTCCCTTTCCCTTCTCTCTCTCTCTCTCTCTGATTTATTTTTTGGCGGGGGGGGGGGGGGAGGGGGGGCAAGAGTCCTTCGCCCTTCCCCCGTTTTCCTCTTTTCTTCTTCTTCCTCTTCTTTCTTTCCTTTTATCTTCTCTTTCCCTTTCCCTTTCCCTTCTCTCTCTCTCTCTGATTTATTTTTTGGCGGGGAGGGGGCGGGGAGTGAGGAGGAGGCAAGAGTCCTTCGCCCCCCCCCCCCCCCCGTTTCCCTCTTTTCTTCTTATTATTCTTTCTTTCCTTTTATCTTCTCTTTCCCTTTCCCTTTTTTCCTTCTCTCTGTCTCCCCCAGCTAGGGCTGGTTTTGTTTACGAAGCGCCCGTCAGGAGAGTACACGATAGAGTACACGATAGAGTACATGATAAAATTGACGATATCGTGAACTTTATATCGTGAACTTTTCACGATAAAATTCACGATATCGTCAATTTCATCGTGAAAAGTTCACGATAAAGTTCACGATATCGTCAATTTCGTGAATTTCTTCGTGAAAAATATGCGATAAAATTGACGATATCGTGAATTTTATCGCATATTTTTCACGATTTAGTCTATTCGCGATGTCCCTTCAGGGCCACCATAGTTTTGACTAATATGTTTTGACTAATACCTGATCATACAAATTTTGCTGAGAAACTGCCTACTAATTGATACATTTGGTAGATTGTTATATTTATTTGGACCTGTCGCGCGCGTGTGCGTAGTCCCATATACATCTTTTTGTGTACAGTGCTTGTAACTTTACCAAGACTGGGCCAAATTTCTTATCATTTTGATGATTCCAGAACCTTACAGTACACACCATGCTAGATGATCAACCTTTTATGATCGATTCGATCCACAACGTTTCTTTCACAATGCAATCACATGACCATAACTGGTCTTTATCTTTGAAGTAAGCCTAATTCTCTCTAATGCAATGCCTCTGTCAATGTGTCCCATGACCTAAACAAAAATTTGTGTTCAGCTAGAATGTATCAAATCAACCTAAAAAACAAACTCATCCTGGCATTCTATGAGTCAAAGATTAAAATTGAAGGAAAATAAAAAGGAACCTAACGTACAGAACCCAAGTCAGACTTGGGTTGAGGGTATAGTTCTACTCACTACCGGTAGTCGCTTTTGTGTTTCTTAAGAGTGTATTACAATATCTCTTTAGAGAAGAAATATAAGAAGCTCATATTTTAAATAAAGTACAACAGTATTGAAGACCTCACACACAGTGTATGACACAGAACAAAATAGATTCTGGTGATTGGTTCACTTTTGAAGTTAT